TATTCAGCCTCGTTGGAAGGCGAGCTTTTTGTCCGTTCTATGTAGAAACCGAAGACGCATTCCCCACCGGAAAATCCATCGTCGATCGCGGAATCTCGCCGTTTAGCTTATGAAATAGGAACTTTGTAGATCGCGGTCTTCCCTGCGAGGAAGGATAAACTTGAAGGAATCAGTAGGTTCTTTATGAAGCGATGAATTTTTTATGTCGAAAATGTGACTATTGAATTTTTTTTTTGCACGGAAAGAACAGTTTTACTTAAGTATTTAAAAATTTAATTAGACATAAATCTAAAAATAATTTTATTAAATCGTTAAAATAATTATATGTAGAACGCTTAAATATTGATAACAATGCTGTAAAAAGTTTTAGCAATTGATTCCCATACTTTCAGCAAGAAACTTGCAATGTTTATAATGTTATTGCAATATTGCTGAAATTTGTGATAATCTGTGCTAAACAAGTTTATAAATGTCCTACTCTCTAAACTCTTTGGAGTAGAATCTCATTTTAAGGATTGAAAATTGAGCCTTGAAAAAGAGTGGCTCAATTTTTAATCTTTAAGAGTGAGAGATTCACTTCAAAAGTTTTAAAAAGTACATAATTATTTTAATCATTAATTCACACAGAATTATTTTCAGATTTGTATCTAGATAAATTTTTAGCCATGTCAGCAAAATCGTTCTTTCCTACTTCAATTTTTTATCGGATGAGATAAGAGATAGGAAAAAATAGATTTATTATACATATAACTCGGCATTAATATTACGTACGTAACTTTTTGTTCCTTCGTAGTTTAATCACGTCATTATAAATAGAGACAATGAAAGATTAAAGATCTCTGAGAGATCAGACGCGAATCCCCGTCAATTCGTTCAAGTTCATCCGTCTCTTTCTTCGCAGAATCGTTAGATGAAATAGTAGGTCTGGTGTGTCGCAGGCCGGCTTCGTTTGTTGCCTATAGTAAGTATAAGAAACTAATCAGCGGTGTCGTTCGCAGGTCCGATTCGGTGCACGGCGGAGTGATCTTTGGAAGTAATCTTCATCGCTTGGATCGTTCGTCAAGTGTCGTCATGTAATAGCACACATATCACAGCATACCTTTAACGAGCTTGCACTTGTTAGAATAATATAATACGATGTCGTCGTGCTTCGGGGCAAGGTAAACCCACCATACGAGAGCGAAAATACCGAAACGGAAAGTCTTATCGAATCGGTCCTTTTATCGGTGCGATATATCAGAGTGTCCCGAATAGATTTTCTGATGCGTACGTGGTATGTCACGGAACATTGTGTCGTAGAACATTAAAGAATTCAGGCTTGACGTAAAAAAGCTGCAGGTACTACAGATGACGGAAACCTTTTTGGAAAAGCTAAATGATATCTCATTTATCTGAAAAAGGAGAGTATAGAAAAAATATTCTCTGTCAATATCCTTTTGTACTTTATAGACGCGTGTATGGAATTCACACTTTTTTAGAGAGCATTATCGATTTTTTTTTATATTTTTTTTTACATAGTCTTTTTTAACGAAACGTAAGTTTCCGATGGTTCACCTACAGCCCCTTTTTGCATCGAATCTTTTATCAGAGGTGAATAAAATTTAATTAAACGGTGCTGCGATGAATTACTGCGCAGAGGTTTAAATTAAAGAGCCTCGTCGTTGCGTATAAAAGCCCAAGAATATGATAACAATAGATACTTAATCCTTGAATTGCGCAGAAATGCTCGTTTAAAGCTAATCAATGAAATAAGCTGTTAAAAATGGACAGCTGATCTACAATAACGTAAATTAAAGTGTCGTACTTCGTGTTCCATATGTAATGTAAATCCTACGTATTTATATATAAATTAAAAATTAGTATCGCCTTGCGGAATATCTTCTTCGAAGTAATCGACCGAAATGAAGCACTGAGAGTGATAGAGACCCAAGTCACAATTTTTAACGAAAAGTTAACAAAATAACTTATATCAAGGAATGTTCTCTAGCTACTTCTGCGGCTGTCCAAGTGACGGAACGAAGGAACGTGTAAAATGTTAGAACATTGTTTCTAATGAATGTGTAAACGTATTCGAGCAATTCGATCTATGGCATCGCAATGAGCAAAAGTTAGAGCGAGTTACTTATACATGGCCTATTAGAATATATGTAGACTATCCGTTCTTGTCCTAGAACTCTGTTCGTGGCTTAGGTCTATATAAATTTCAACGCTTCAAATAATAAATACACAAAAAGGCGCTCTGTACCGCCAGAACCCACCGCGTGTCCCACAAGCTGAGACGCATATATTACCGCGAAATTTTATTTGGAATGGTACAATGCATCTGTCACAATCATCGGGCATACACACGTGTACGTATGTACATGTATACACAAACTGCTTCCGATTCGCGAGTCTCCTCGAGAAAGAGGCCGCGGGGTCGCGTAACGTCGTCGTCGTCGTCGTCGTCGCCGCGACGCTGTCGAGGAAAGGAAAGAATGAGGAAGAGGAAATGATATGCACCGGAAGAGCGGCTTATACCGAAACAAAAGCGTATGTGTGTGTATGTGTCTTTAAGCGTTAAGCCGCACGCGAGTTGCAAAACGTAGGCGATTCCAAAGAAGTTCATAAAGGGATCCACCTTGTGAGCTTGATCATCTAATCTTCGAAATCGGACATTAACTTTGGTATTCTTAAACTCCTGTCTGTTTTTCTTTCCTCTCATTCTATCCTTTTGATAAAACGATTTCAAATAAATAAAAAAAGAATAATATTCTCTTGCTAGAAATTAAAGTTTGCCGATCAGATGTTGTTAATCCTCAACTGCAGCTATGAAAACTACATCTTACAATTAGTTCTAACGCGTCCTGTTTAAAATACAGAATACATGTGAACCTCTGCCCTAAGGCGATTGACAGAGAAAAGTTTAATGTTTTTTTAGAACTTACAATTTAGGACCTCATATCAATACACAGACTTTACAACCACCTAAAATTTTTGCTTCGGGTCTATTGCTGTTAAGGATTAATACTAGAACTATCAAAACATTTAATTTTTTATCAGCTTTTCAAGCTTTTGTTGCAATCTCTAAATGATTAAATTAATCAATTTGCTTTCTCCATTTATCCTCTTTTTAAAGATACATAAATAGTAAATTTTAATAGTAGAAATAAGTATGACGATATCGAGAAGTCGATATCGAAAGAGAACAAGCAATGCAAATTTTAAGGTCCGATATCCGAGATTAAACGTCCAATCTCGCTGAGACAAATCCCCCACGGATTTCCATTTCAATTCGTCCGCTTCTTCGACGATGACGAATTCGAACCGCTCGCTCAAACCGTACCGGAGTAGCTCTCGCTCGGCCAGACGTAGTATAGGTGACGTCGGCGTGCGTACGCCTGCTGGAGCTGTGCCTCGGACGCCCGCGACGATCCCTGCAGTCCCTGGTGACCTCGTGATAGACCGGTATCGGTATCCGGCTCTGGCTATACTATGGTACCACCGCCTTCTACCGGACTGACCACGTGGAGAGCGGCACCGCCGACCTGGCTGATCCCTGGCTGAAATTAGAGACAACGCGAACCACATCGTTGATACACGGCGATACGAATAACGCGCTTCTAAGTCATCTAAGTCATCTAATAAAAACACGCGTTATTCCCAAGAAGCATCTCGCGCATCTTTTATCATCCCAAGCCAGAGGTTTCTTTTTGATGGACAATTCATCACAGTTGTATGAGCGAAGAACTAAAAAAAAGAAAATTTCAATAATCCAATTTTTAATAATTTAGTATTTTATATTAAGAATTCAATTTCTAATTGTTTAAGAACGTATATTTTGATTAAGAGAGAGACAAATAACTTATGCTTCCATTAAGATCAGGAATTCGTATCTTCATTCAATAGTGTTAAACATATGACTCATGAATAGTTTAAACGGTTCGAACATGTATAATTCTCTCTTTCCTGTCTTGCGAAAACTTTTCGGGAATAATGCAGATCTGGCAAGAGAAAGAGAATGCGTGAGAGCAAAGAGATATAGTGCAAATTGTGCTATAAAATTCAAAAGCGCCGCCGAGAAGTACCTCGACAAGAACGTGTGTAAATGATTTCGAGCGTGTACACTATTCTACTTCCATGACAAGTCCGTTCAAGCGGTAAATAAAGCAAAATAGAACGGAAAATGATAAGTCATACGTACCATGCGATAACTCAGGGAAGTCTCATCCACGATATTCTCTTGCATCAGCCAAAGCGTGGTACAGAACATTAATCTTTCCGATCAATCAAAAGTGAGAAAAAGGAATTAATGCTTTATCGGCCTTGAGAAATAAGCGCAAGCATCATCCGATTAAAAATGATAAAAGACGCGCTATTTAAAATTATAAGTTACGCTAGAAAAAGAAGCAACGCACGCTGTAATGAATTTCATCGCGAACTACTCCGTAATTAGTTAGGTATTTTTCGCAGCGTTGGCCAAAGGCGCGAAAGACTCGCTTTCATTAAATTGTATACATCACGCTGTTCTCAGCGTAATACAGTGAATTAATAGCAGTGATTAAAACATTCTTTTGAACACTCGATAATTGTGTTATGGTATTTATAGTTACACTTCGCAAACGCTGGTTAGCGTTTAATTGATCGCAATTTAATGAGGCTGTCCCTGATACTTTTGGTCAAAGCCGTTAAATGAAAAGGTGAGAGTGTGGGATATTCTCGTGATACAAATGCTCTATGCAAAACGCCCAGGAAACACTATTCGAGCCCTAATATCCTGTAGTAACCTGTAGTATATAATGTGAAAAAGAAAAAAAAGGAAAAAACATGCGATGTTCTTGGCAGACTGTAAATAAACATCGTCTTACATGTGTCATCATACATATGTATGTACGTATGCATATATATGTACGTGCCGCATAAAAGACTCCCCCGGCCGTTCTCCTTGGAGCTTCTGCATTGCACTTGATTGAACAAAATTTCAACAAGCGGAAAGCAAGCAGCAATCGTTCATTCAAATTTTTGCTTTATTGTACAACAAGGCAAAATTCATCGTTTTCAACAAAGGATTAAGTGTTTCTCGCATCTCGTATCGTAAGTTTGAGAGACGACAGTTTGGCTAAATAATTATTTTTCGTTGACTTCTCTATTTAATGATCGGTTAAAGCTAGATAACACTTTACAGAAGATAGAAAGAAGGTTTTCTTCAATAAAGGGGCCTGCCCTGTCACGAGACCTCATAGGGTTCAAACAACATTGCTCTCGAGGATGCAAACCAAAAACATAAATATATCGGTAGTCGATCTCTATCCTATAGCTCGCGTAATTCTGCAATATTCATCGCGAGAATATATCTTGACCAGACCATCATTAGGCACAGATATCAACGACAGCCTATACTATGAATGAACTTTAAGCACATACTGTGAGTAGTTTTTTTTTTATTTGCAGCGCATGCACTAATCAAATATTATAGAATTGATAACATCTAAATAGAAGATAAGTTAAAGCTCCTCCGTTTCCCGCAAAAAAATAATATTAATTAAAACTATATTAATGCATCTGAAAAAAAAAAACAGATATCACAATGTATGTGCGCGCTCTACACTACTTAATTTGAAATATCTATGTTCATGCATTTCGAGTAATAAACTGTATTAAAAAATGTTGTAATTTATCTGATCTAGTCTAGGAAATATCCCGGAAAGATTATCCGAAAAATGTTCGTAATACGTAGACAGATAAAAAAAATATCTAACATAAAAAAAAGTTCTGTGATTCAAAATTTTCCGAAAAAACATATATATTTTTAATTACTTGTTCACTCATAGTATCGTCCGTCTATGTACTTCTGTAATTATATACACAATACAAACTTAGAGAAAAATATTTAAAAAAAGTCCTCAATGCATTTCTCTATGATGGCACCTCCCAATACTAACAGAATTCAAACGCAATTATATACCCTAAGGTCGTAGATTTAAATGTGAATAGGGACTCTTTAAGATTAAATATACTGATTGTAATATATAAAACTTAAATAACAGCGACGCGATCGTCATATCAAACACCCGGCAAGATAATACCGAATTCGTCAGTGTATCTTGTTCTAATACTTCCAAACCAAAATAATCATTTGTCTCAAAGATGTCCTTCCGTCACCACGAAGGTAAAGGAAGACTATCCAAAAGCATTACAAGATTTTCCTGTGCTTTTGTCACGATAACATCATTCTAAATTCTAACTCTACGTATATATGTACAGAATTCTCGGATCATCCGACCAACAGACTCTACTCGACGGACTCGCTAAATAACGATTTGGAAATAACGGGTTACATCAGAGGTCGTTACATCGCATGGAATTGATATTACTAGTGTAAGGGTTGTTGCTATGATGGTGTGATGGCCTGTGCAGGGTGCTGCTTATCGTGAGAGGACCTACCATGTGGCCGGGCCTCGCCCACGTGTACACGTATCCATCCTGACACGCCGTCACGAAGCAATCTTCCCTAAATACTAATTCAGTCAGTCTCTCGTGCGCCAGCTTCTTGCACACCAGCGGCTCGAGGACCGGACACTCGTCGAACCTGGGACACCAGGCGGTCCCTATCAACCTCATGGGATCGTCCATCACGGAACTAACCTTTTTACTTCCCGTCCCACCTACTAAACTCCCACCGACACTGTTATTCAGACTACTACTCGTCGTACTCGTCGAATTGCCGGTGCTCGCCTTATCGCCACCGTTATTTTGCACAACTGTCGTCGTGCTGTTGTTGGCCGTCGTCGCCGTTGCACCTGTGCCGCTACCTCGCATAGTGAGGCTAAAGTTTCTCTTGTGATTATCACCCTTACGCTCGCCGAAGCCAAGACCCGCTAGCCTCTGCGTCAGCGAATTAACGGTTGCCACCGCGGCATTCGTGCTACTGCTATTGTTACTAGTCTCATTATTACCACTCGCGTTCTCCTTGAAGTTTACATTATTTGAATTATTATGTTTAGCATTCGAATTCGAATGGTGATTCACCGTTGTCGCCGCTCCATTGCCACTATTAAACGTACCCGAGGACGACAAGGTACCGCCACTGGTGCTGCACGCCGCAGAGGGTCTTTGCTTGGCACACACCGGTTGCCTCAGTACATCCTCCGTAATGTCCCATAGGCACAGTTGGGTGTCCTGCGATACACTGCCTAACCTGTAGCACGTACCGCCCGACATTCTCAATTCAGAACTACAGGAATTGCGATTCGAGTGAACACCACCGCTCTGCGAGGTCGTGGATAGACGGTGCGACTTCTCGTGGAAGTGATTATGATTGTTGTGCGACATCGTCGTTTCGTCATCCGAACCGCTAAAGTCGGGATCGTGATCACCGTAGGACGTCGTGTATGGATCAAAGGCAACCACGCTCACCCAACTATGATGACCTTGCCCCCGCGCCACCACCCGCTTCTCGTGGAAGCTCCAAATAGTCACCAGATCGTCCTCGCCGCCGACCACCACGTAACGTCCGTCCGGCGACCAACACACGCACAAAAAGCCACCAAAGTAGCTCCTTGCCGAGCCAACCAGTTCCATGGTGTTGTATTGAAAAACACGCAGAAACCCATCCTGTGATACCACGGCTAAGTTCGTGCCACATGGGCTGAAGGCGAATTCATTTATACAACATCCTTCCGCGCCTATCACCCACCGGTACAGCGGGTTTCTGGTGGATTTGGTTTTGCAGGTATATATGGCGTATCCGTCACCCGACTTGAATGACTGATAGTGCGGCGCAGTGGTGCCGCAAAGCAGCTCTTCGTTATAGAGGTACAGCTGACCGGAGCTATGAGAGACCAGAAATAGGTTGTTTGAGCTGGGAACCCACTTTATACATGTCACCTTGCTCTTGTCTATCAACCTCTGAAAAAAAAAAAAACGTTCTCATTACAGATAACAAAAATATTTTCATGTTAAAATGAAGCAAAATTAATAGTGCCGCGAAAAACTGTTTAGAATTTATTAATCGTATCTTGCATTCAAAATAATCTCTATTAAAATTTTTTTTTATAAAAAAATATTTAATAAAATTAATCTAACTAAAATAGTGCTTCTCTTATTTTGTAGCGATATAAAGCTTACTAAAAAATCAATTTTTATATTACAATCTCAATGTTATGATTGATAAACAAAGATAAAAAGGAAATAGTACTAGTGATTTGAAGATAATATTGAACGTTATTGAAGTATTAAAAATGTTTTACAAAGCGTAACTGTATACGTATAAATTATCAGACATTCATTGAGACCGAAATGTATTTAAAATAGGCAGCACATAGTTCCATTAAGGCCTGTTTCTGCTACAAGAAGACAGCGGAAAGTTATGTAATGTTGCTTGTTGAGCTTAATTATTTGATTGAGATATAATTGCATTAGTGCGCGGGCCTACCGGCATAGAATAGCCCGGTTAATGCGCTGCTAAATATTAAGCACAGTCATTGCAGGATGCAGCGGATGGCGTGAGGTATCCTGAACCAGCATTTATTTTCCAGTTTATCATGTTTCAATAAGATAACACAGACATATCATCAAGAACGGATAAGTGTTGACAGTTATTACACACATTGTCAGGAAACTACAGTTTGATATTAGCTGCATAGAGAATTCTGTTTGAACTAAAAGATTATTTATCTCTCCACGTAAGCTAGCAGATAATACAGGAAATGATTCTTTCTAGCAATCGCAAATGCAGATGAGAAGTTTTCCTTCAGGTTCACGTAACTCATAGAGACTTGTCAATAGAAATTTCGTGCCAAATTTGCTTTTACGTACGTCTTCATTGTACAATTTGCTGAGTTGAGAACTGTCCTTCTTTATCGGATCGATCAGCTGTATCTGCCCTGTGGAAAATCCTACCAGCAATGGAGCACTATCGGCCGTTGCTGTTGTTTGATTAAAATTGTGGCAGGTCGGATTCGTTCCCTTGTACAACTTTTTGTCCACTGGTTTGTTCAAGTCTACAGCCTGAAACATTTTAACACTGTGTCATGTCGAGTTTTTTCAACCAAATCCTTTCAGTCGATAAATAGTTTACTTTCTAGGATACAAAAATTTGAAATGGCTATACATGCGATAAGTTATTTAAACTATATTAGATACATTTTTCATTTCGGCACTAGTCTCTAAAAGAACTTTCTCGCTTAAGTCAAATATCAAATGGACACCTATTTTACATTAGATCTACTTCTTATTCCTGCACTAGAATTTTCTTTCTTGCTTTTATCAAATATCGAACATATATCATCTTAAATTCCCAAAGTATATATACTATTCAACCACAGAAAGCAATTTAAATTCCAAAGAAAATATACTAGTGCAGCTGTAGAAAACAGACCTATTTTCTTATCTTGAAAACCTTTCAGAGCTGATTTCGAACTTCTGTGAGAGTTAATTCTGTCGGTTTTTTATTTCTACACATAAATCAAGGATTCCATCAACGAATACTAATTGTAAGAATTAAGATAGCAGTATTATTTGCGATACCGTTTAGGGGTATGTGATTACTCAATATACTTCCGACGAGAGAGAAACATCAGCGTGAGTGGTTGTCGTCAGCTCTCTCGTTGATGAGTAAGAAAAAGGGGGAAAAAAGGGGGGGGGGAGAAAGGCAGCAACGATTCAACGCGAGTCGACCCCAGAGGAAGCTCTCGACGTCGCGTTCATCGTCGCGGAGGACGAGGCACGGCGAAACCGAGCCAGTCCGCAAAGATGGAGGTCTCTCTCGACGTTTGCGAGGTTAGGTCGCAACGACGACGGCTCGGGTATACTCCGGACGCGTCGCGCGTCACCGTCGCCGTCGTCGCTGGGTTATGGCTCACCTTCTTGACACCGCGATAGACGTAGACGTAGAGCTCCTTGCCGAAATTGAAGCACATTCGGTCACCGAGGCCCTGTGCGCCCGTGGGGTCTGCTGGGTCCGGCAGCGTGACGAAGGACACCCTGACGGACGCGCTGCCCTGGCTGTTGGTGTAGCCGACTCGGTTCGGTCTCGAGTACTCCGACAGGGTCATCAGCTTGTAGGTGCCCTCCCGCGTGACGAATTGTGTTTTCAGGTCCTCCTTCCCTCCACCGTCCAGCTGCACAGCCATCTTACCACCAGCAGCAGCAGCAGCAGCAGCGGCGCAACGGAGGAGCTCATCAGACACGCAGGGAAATATAGCTCGTAGGCCGCCCTCGTTACTGGCCCGTCGTCGTCGTCACACCGACGTGTTGACCACCGATCGACAGAACCGACAGAACGTCCGGCCGACCGACCGTCCGTACGTGGTGCGTGCGTCGCCGTCGTACGATCGCCCGACTCCCCGACTCCCTCGCCGTCGCTCGCGTGTGGCTGAGACGGCTGAGTGGCTCCCCTGAGTCCCCTCGCCTCGGCCCTCGGCCCGTGCCCGTACCCGTGCCCGTGCCCGTGCGCCCGTCTCCGTCTGCAGGCAACTTCACGCGCGCGAAACGAGCTCCACCGCCGGCGGGGCCGGCTGCGAGTGCGGGCGGCCACGATTGGCAGAGCCACGCCGGGAAATCGTGCGAGAGATTGCCGTAAATCCGTATAACGTTTCACCACGTTTCTCGCCGGCCGCCTGGCCTGGCTGGACTTGGCTCCGTCCTCTCTTTTTTTTTGTTTTCCTCACTGTATCCCTCCGTCCCTCTCCGTCTCGCACGACGGCGCTGGACGGCGCGAACGCGGCTTAAAGGGCGCTCGAATTGCTCGAAATACTACTCCGAATTCTCCGAAACCGTACGAACTGCTGCTTGTCTTGTGTAGTGCGCTCGCCGAACGGTGGCGGCGACTCGCGCTGTCAGGATTGCTTCAGATTTTTGCAGCGCCCTGCGCATCGTTTCTACGCATTCAAAATTTGTGACAGTCTTGCAAGAAATATAAATTCACTTATTTCTTGCAAGATTGTTGTGCTAATCATTCGTACGACGCATCGTAATTATTCTCTTTTCTTAGTCCTGAACGGAAACTGTTTCTTCAAAAATATTTTCTCACGGATATGATAGTACAAGATTTGATAAGATTGGCGTTCGAAGGAAGATTAAACCAAATGAAAGTTGAAAATTAACTACGTTTATTATATAACATGTGTCGTGTTCCAATTTAAATAACTTTGATATAATTTCAATGAAAAAAATTTTTATAATATCCATAGAGCACAGATTATTTTAGCAACACTGCAATATTGATGCTATTTTCTGTGCTTTTCATATTTTAAATTTATAAAGATTTCTGAAAAGTGTCTTTTCTTTAGTTTTTATAAATTTTTTTTTTGGAAATTGTAGAATGAGAAATCTTATATTCCACATATTTTAAAATTTTTAGAATATTTTAGAACATTTTAGAATGTATGTACATAAAAAATTTTAGAAAAAATAGAGACTATCACAGCATTTTTGAAAAATGTTCCAATTCGTGTGAAAAAATCTGAGAAATTTTCTAAATAGTAATTAAATTATACAGAAATGCTGCAAAACATTATATGAACAATTCAAAGAAAAATTCTTGCCGAAGGAAGGCCATTTCATTTCAAGAACGCATTTACGCGCAATCGGGCGTATCGCCGGGATATTGCGCTCCCTTCACGGCACTGGCGACGTCGTTGCGATGCGCGCGCAGTGAAGTTAGCAATCATCCGCTTTGGTACCGCGGCTCGTGCGGGCCCTGTTTAGGGACCGGATATTTTGTAAACAAGCGCGAGCGAAGGGTCAATTAATTTCGCCCGCTTTTTCCTGCTTCCCCCCTCTCGTACCCCTTCCTATGACTCTATGTCGTCGTTCGCACGTCGTCGGTGAGATGGACAATTGTATGAAAAGATTCCGCGCAATTTCGAACAATTCCGCTTTCGAATCGAAGTAAGTTTTCGTTCTCTTTCTTTTCCTCTCTCTCTCTCTCTCTCTCTCTCTCTCTCTCTTTTTCTCTCTCTCTTCCTTTTCTCTCTTTCTCTCCCTCTCCCGTCTTCTCCTACCGGAAAGCCTACCGTCTTGTGACGATGAATTCATCCGTGAAACTTGAGTGCCGCAGAATTGAATTCGCCAGAGATAATTACGAGGTAGATAATTGTTACGCGGCGATGTATCAAGTCAAGTGCAAGTTTCGCCAACATGTTGATTGACTCCAATTTAGCTGATCTTCTATCTCTTTTTAGATTGCACGCGTCTTATACTTACAATTATAGTAGTTAATATAATTTCAACCGACCACAGAAGCTTTAACTGAGTGCAGTTAATTCTAATTGCTCATTTTTATTTATAAGTAAAATGATCGGTTAATTAAACCGATCATTATTTTATTCTACACGCAGAACATGGATTAAAAAGTTTCTTCGAATATATTTTGGTTTGCATTTAATAAGTTCTAATTTTTTAAATCAAGTATCGCCTTTACAGTTTATGCACCTTATTTTTCTCAATTATTTATCATTTTTCTTTATTATTTTATTATTATTGTTATTATTATTTATTATCATATTATTTTATTATTTCATTTTGATTTTGTTATTTATCATTTTTCTTATTTATCTTACTTCTTTTGAGACTTAAGATTTGTTAAAGGAAACATGTCTTTTGCATTTGACATTTATATGCAAATACTAAAAAAAACCCCAAAAATTTTTAAATCGATCTTTTTGATTTTTCAAAAGTTAAATTTACAGAAATAATTTTCTTTTCCATTCAATTCAATTCGTCCATTTTTTTCATATCGTTCGAAAACGTAATTTTATTTCAGTTCGCTGCTAACGCGATCCGATTTGAACTTAGCCGCACTAGACGTGATCTTGTCGCCATTGCGCCAAAATCGTATCCTTTCCGGTTTCCTCTCAACGATCATTTCCGTGAAGGTCGCGCGCGTACAGGTGCCTTTTCGTGCTGACGCTGACACTCATTTTCAGCTTTAAAATAAGTCACGTGATCGAAATTGACGTTTGATATTCGTCAATTTATATCACGTGACTTATTTTGACGCCGAAAATGAGTGTCGAGCGTCAGCATGAAAACTGAAAAGGCACCTTTACCGTCGAATGTCGTTGATCACGACTCCGAATCGCGAATAGTGTCGACGAAATCGCATTTACTTAGCTCCGCACCCGCGTTCGTGTTCGAATTGAAGTGTAAAGTGCCGATGTTAGTTACGTCGAACGTTTGTTAAAAGAGGATGCAGTTTCCGTGCAACACCTTGGAATTTGAGACTTGTCCCAAGAAGTCGGACATTTTTGGCGCAATGGTGAACAGGACGCTGCTTCGATGGTGAGTGTCTTTTTGATTCTTTTCGGCGACCGCCTCAATTAATTGCCTTAATTAATTGGAATTGCTTGTGATTGTTTTGACATCTTTTCTTTCGAAAACGACAATGACGTGAATTAATAGATATGAATGAATATTACGGTAATTTCTACGATATAATATTCAAACACTTCTATCTAAATAAGACGAGACAAGAACAATTAGAAATTAACGTAATATTGTGTTATTATTTAAATCTTTTGTAAAGATAATATTAATATTTTTATTCAAAAAATAATGTAAAATTTCATCTGGCATCGGTTTTAGTTTTGTAATTGGCGCATTTAGAGTACATTCCACTTGGCGTTTGCAACGCTTGTAAATATCTTTTCACATCCTTGTTGAACATTCGATAAACAACAAGGACGTAATGATGTTCACGGGCATTGCGAACACCGTGTTTACACCGGAAGTGTAAACTGTAACGTATTCCACATTTTCAAAATGGCGACTAATGCGTAGTCGCGCATTTCCTTTTTGCTTTGGCGTGATTGGTTCATTCTTCTCGGGATAAATGATTACGCAAATTATTGGTGCATCTGTGTTCGTAGTCTGGTGTCTGTATCGCCAGAGAGAAACCTGAGTTTGGGAACTATATGACTACATTTTCTGACACTATCGATAAAATCGTATCGTCGAAAGTAGATGTGGTTTGCGTCTGTACTAAATCCTCAGGCTAGAATCGTGCAGCTATCCATAGGAAGGATAGTCGGAACCAGGTTATGTGCACGTGAGATTATTGTATACAAAAATATGTAATTAACTATTGGAAACAGAATGATTAATTAATTATTTGAGCGAGAATTCTAGGGTAGGTTTACTGAAAATTGGATTTGTTTAAATTGATATGCAATTTAATTACTTTTTACCAATAATTGAATATGTAATGAAAAGTTATGTCAGGTGTTAAATGGATTATCATACCATTTCTTATCGCATGTTACTATCTAAAGTATAAAGTTAACAGTATATATATTGAAAGTAAAATTTTACAATAAAATAAACACAAGTTGTACTAGCATGTTAGAAACTCAGCAATATGAATAAATTGAATATCAATGAAAAGTTACGTTAGATTGATTATTATGCTACCAATTTCTTATCACATGTTGCTAGTTGAAGTAACAGTATATTTATTAAAAGTAAAATTTTACAATAAAGAAATAAATATAAGTTGTATTATTATGTTAGAAACTTTTAAATTTGATTAATTGTATTTATATTTATGTTCTTTTTCTCTAGCAATACATGTATAATTCACAGATAAAATCAGAATTACATTCCAATGGCTCCGATGAAACAAAAGCGATCATTTCATTCTAAAAAGAGAAAAATCGATGAACGCTATGAAAAGCGACCAAAACCAAAGAAAGAAAAATTCGATTTAAGGAAAGCCTCTTATATTAAAGAACGTGATGCAAAGAATGAAGAAATTGAAGCTCGCAGGCGAATAATGGAAGAGGAGAAAATACGTCAGCGACTGGAGGAAAGTGACAGTTCTGAAGAAGAAGTTGATCCTTGGATGCTTTATATATCTAAGTTATCTGGTTATAAACACACAAATTTAGTAGAGAAATTAAGGAAGCCAATTGTAACAAGTTCAGAAAGTGAAAACGAAGATTCTGATACACAGAATAAAAATAAAACAAAGTCAAAGGGAAAAATGGAGAAAATTAAGAGAATGAAAAAGAAAAACATTGAAGAAAAGAATGAAGAATTTGAAGCAAATGAAGAACCTTCTGATCAGGATGAAGAGATTTTATTCACGATGAAAGAGGATGATTATGAAGATGCTGAGACTGCCCAAGAAGACATTGGCCATTTGAGAGATCCATTCTCTTTACATTTACGTAATGATATGGATGATGAACTGTATAAAGCAGTCTCTGCAACACCACAGATTACAGAGACCACGACGTTATTATGGCCTACATTGGGGAATCTGATATGTCATATTCCAAAACCAGCTGTTGATTCAAATGACAAAGCAGCAAAAGTAAAAAAGCTTCTGGATGATGAAGAGAAACAGTATACAAATTGTGGTAAAATTCCTACTCTGATTGAGAACGTCAACTGGAACAAATTGCATGTAAAATCACAGATTCAAAATAATTTGATTAAAGCTAATTATAATATAAAGGATACTGTAGAAAAAAAGTTACCTTTGACTTCTCTTCAAAGGGAATTGTTTTCGGTGATAAATAATTATCAAGACTTGCATTATCCTGGAAGAACATTTTCCAATGCCGATGAAATACGATTCATTTATTGCCTGCATGTAATTAATCATGTTCTGAAGACCCGAACAAAAATACTGCATCATAGTGCAAAATTAGCAAAGGCCAGTCGTAGTGGCATGGGAGAAGTTCCAGACGAGTACAAGGATCAGGGTTTAGTTAGACCCAAAGTACTTATAATAGTTCCATTCAAACATTCTTGCTTGAAGATAGTCGAGATGTTCATCTCGATTTTGTTTGGGGAAGACAAAGGCGGTTCTGTCATCAACAAGCTGCGATTCATGGAAGATTTTACTGGAAACGAATTAGCAGTGCCCAAGAAGAATCCTAAACCAGCAGATTACGAACTGACCTTGCAAGGAAATATCGACGACAAGTTCAAGATAGGCATGGCGCTTACCAAGAAAACTCTCAAGTTGTATACAAATTTCTACTCTTCCGACATTATAATCGGTTCGCCGTTGGGTCTCAGGAGAGTAGTAGGTGCAGAAGGCGAAACGGTGAGAGACTACGATTTTTTGTCATCTATAGAATTGCTAATCATGGACCAGATTGACACGGTTCTCATGCAAAACTGGGATCATCTGTATCAAGTTTTGGATTACATGCATCTGCAACCCAAAAAATCTCACGATATCGATTACTCTCGTCTCAGAAGTTGGTGCGTGAATGGCTGGACAAAGTATTACAGGCAGACATTGATCTTCTCCAGTATCGAAACACCATATATAAACACGATGCTGATCAGGAAATGCTTTAACTACGCCGGCCAGGTGAAAGTACTGAATGCATTGGAACCGGGCTCAATTCGTGACGTGACCATCAAAGTTCCACAAGTCTTCTACAGATTCGACGCTTCCGATCTTTGTCAAGCTATCGATAGCAGACTAGATTTCTTCCTGAAAGAGATATTACCGCGATACACGGATCCTATATACAATCACACATTAATCTACGTGCCATGCTACTTCGACTTCGTATATCTACGCAACCGCATGATGAAGGAGAAGATGAGTTTTACGATGATCAGCGAGTATACCCAGGATCGAAAGGTCGCCCGAGCGAGGGATATGTTCTTTCACAGCGACGCACATTTCCTCCTCTATACAGAACGCTGGCATTTCTGGCGCAGAACGAGGATAAAGGGTATCCGTCACCTTATATTCTACCAGCTGCCCACTTATCCACATTTCTACAGCGAAATGTGTAATCTGATGGATAATCTGTATCAGAATCCACGTTCCGGCACGGAGTACAATATGTCGGTAACCGTTATTTACAACAAATTCGACGCCATAAATCTCGCTCAAATAGTGGGTCAGAATAGAGCCACTAAAATGATAGAATCAGAATCTAAAGTACACACGATTAAATGCTGACTTGAATTATCTTTCTATATTTGTGTATATCATGCGAAGAGATAATTATAAGTAATTTAGTAACTACAATAAACGCGCGCGCGCGCGTAATTTTATACAACTGCGCTATCGCTGTTAATAAAGTAATTATTTTAGAAATAAAATGTAAAATAATTATTTCAATATAGGATCTTTATTAATGATCATAAAAAACTTACATAAAACATCTATCGAGTAAATGTTAATCACGATAAAAAACACGTTAGAGTAATAACGAATTTCTATTTTATCATTGCTGCATGTACTTCTCTCTCTCTTTCCAATATTAATAATTACAAAAATATTTTTTAGTTTTTTCTAACTATCAATATAATACTAAGAAACTTGATGAATAGAATCTGAACAAATAATCCTTCAGAAAAAATTACACTTGTAATTTAGTCGTTTTATTACACAATGAAGATACAAAATTTGATTTATTTAAATTTATAAGAGAGTTAAAGTCTGCGATGGAATATACATGCATAATTTTCTTTGTAATTCCATTACTTATTGTTAATTTCTTCTATCGTATCTTCACAATAGTGCCATCCACATAATTCTATAGACAATTAGATACTTAAATTATTTCAATGTATTTTTAGTTTCTATATTTGTCTCAATGAGTAGTTCCTAGTCTCTATTAGGTTTCTCATTTGGCAAATTCAGGTCAATACGACTTCTAACATTCTCTGTCCATAAAGAACTAAAAGAGAATTGCTTCTCTAAATGTACTAATAGATATTGATACTCTATTAGTGATTACTAGTTCGGTTTCCTTGCACTTTATTTTTTTCAACACGAGTTGTGAAAAGTCCGATCGTATATTCACTTATGTAACACTCTCATCATCTTCGCTCGTAATGCTAGTGAAATTATGATAATCTCCTGTTGTCGATATTGATGTGAGCTCTACAGACGTCTCTCTGACGTCCGCAATTTCCGTGAAGACTTCCGAGAAACTTTTTTGTCGTTGAGTGATCGATAAATCAATTTGTTCCAGCTGTTTATTTTCTACCGTCGTAGATCTCGCTGTCATTCTTTCGATCTGTGTTTCTGTGAAAAAAAAATATCATTAAATTGTAAAGATAATTGCAACACAAAATATTTGTAATACGTTACAGAAATTAAACAGAATCATATTACAAGCATTTAAGATCCAGATAGACCGTTTAAGGCATTGATTTCTATAGTTAGTATTATCACACATATATAGTCCTATAAGATATTATATTGTTTACAGAAATTAATTTATGTTTAATTTTTTCAAATATTTTATAAAATGTAATATATTCGCAAGACGAATTTTTTATTTCTAATGATATTACAACGTATTTTTTTTATTTTAATGGTATGGGATATTTCTTTATGTTTTATTCGAATTCTGTAAGATTAATATTTCACGAAGTATTTATACTTTCACGCATGAAATTTATAACGTACAGAGTTTTCGAAATGTTATATTCCTATTGTATAAAACTCGTACGTTTTATACTATTGTATAAAACTTCTTAAGACTTCTAGAACTTTCGGAATTAATTTTCGATTGAAAAATGTCTTCTCATCGAAATGTGCCCCAATATTATATGGAATAAACGGTTTTACTAAAGCATTTAAAAATTAGCTGAATATAGACCAGAAAATAAATGTTAGATCATCAAAATAATTTTGTAGGACGCTCAGACTGGTTACTATAATTTCGAAACCTTTTATAAAAGCATTGCTCATTATATTTGAATGTTCTGTATAATAATTTTGATAGTCCAACAAAATTATTTCTAGATCTGTATCTATAGCTAAATTTTTAGAGTCTTTGTAGTATGAAGTGTAGAATTATAATTCTGTATGATTTCTAATGTATCAGCGTGAAATTCTCAACGAAGGTTCGCGTTGCAGTGACAACGCCTTTACCGTTTGAGATTGGCGGAGTCGTGAGGGAATCGAGGGAAGGAGTCTTTGGACACTCCTGTTTATCGACTTTCATCCTTCTAACTGCCTGATCCTTAGGATTCCAGACGAAGGTGTAATACAAGGAGAGCAGTATAGCAGCCATGCTGACAAATATGACGTACGCGACCACTGTTAATACTCGTACTACCTTCTGCTTGTGTTTCGGTTCATAGAGCTTATCTTTTCGTTCGTCCCCAGCGAAACGGATCTCATTAGATGCCGGCGGTTTGCTCTCGCGATTACCCAGGGTGCGACCGATGCTCGCCATCACGTTGTGAGCGCTCATTTTTCGTGGCAATTGCATCCTCGACTCCGCGAAAATTCACATCTCAATCGATGAGACGATCATCGTCCCACGGATGGACCTCGACGAGAGGAACTCGAAAGAAATCGTATAATGTGCAGGCTTTTTCTCTCAGCTGAAAAGCAAACGATCCACGTTCGTCACGTTGATCGCAAGCGTTGGAATAGTTCAGCTTGTGTAAAAGTCGCAAATATTTTTCCCAGGAAAAATTGTCGAAATCGTACAGCGTTTTTATAAGTCGTTTTTTTTAACCATCTATTGTGACTGCCTATTAACTTGAATGAATTTATTTTTGCAAAAAGCGGTGGATAAATTTTAATTCTAAAATATTTTTAGAAATAAATTCTTATAGGAATGATATTTTTGATTGAATATTTTTTAGTGAATATATCAACGATACCGCATAACTAGTGAATACAATTAATATAATTACGTCAATATAATTACGTTCTTGAGTAATTTTTGACAGCTCTTTTTTGCGCTATATTTCCAAGTGAGCGTACCTCGACGTTAAAACGCATTCGCGCGTTTATTTCCAGCATCACATGCTCCCGGGATGCTCGATTTGCCCGTGCGCCTTCCCAGATCCCATTATAATTAAAGGTACTCTTGTTCGAATTATACTGTTCAATCACATCGCGAGTGAAAGACGCATTTCGCAGACGCGACAGGGCGTGCCTCGTCGAGACGAGCTTCGCTCTCGCAAGTTCGAGATTGTGTGGAGAAGGGTTGACTCACGCGTTCGAGATCGATAAGTCACGAGCTTTTGGCTCTTTCGTTTTCACCACGGAACTAAACACGCGCGTTTTACCGCTGGCTATTTCTGTGTGCCGGCTCTCGTCATGGATGGCCGTATCTCGCCCCGTACGTTGTGAATACGGAAAAAAAGCACACCCACCTCGGATAGGTGCACCGGGAAGCAGCACCGAGTGCGCAAGCTCCGGAACCTTGATCAACCCAGAGAGAAGCTTTTCGCGTCTCACGCCAGCCGGAAGCTGATAAACTTATATATGAAGCTGCGAAGATCTCCATTTAAAATGATCGATTTTAGTAATAATAATTTTCAAACAATTTTTCCAAAAAATAAAAAATATATATTTGAGTAATTTTGAATATTTATAAGATTTTAAAATATTTTTTTGCGTTTCCTAAATAATGAAACCACAAAAAAGATCCGCAGTTTTCTTATAAGTGTACAGAAAATTAATTAGATATCTCAAGAGGAATTTCAAAAGTTTGGCTCACATAAAACTTTCGAGTGCACACTACAATCAGTTTTTTAAAGTTTTGTATTCTTTGTGTTTATATTTTATATAATTTGAACAAGAGAGAGAGTAATATATATTATTATTTGAAAGTTTTTTACTCACTGGAGTTTAAATCATTCAAAATTCACAAATCTATAAGAAACAGCTAAAGAAAATACAAAAGGAATACAAAAATATTTTTTGACGCGTAAAAGAGAATTATATTCTTGCAGATGATCTTACATGAATAGTAGAATAATAATATATATAAATGGATTTAATTTGAAAAAAACAAGTATTTCGCAAATTAAATTCATTTATACTCATTATTCTTCTACACCTGTTAGTATATTTTTCTCTAAACGCGCAATAGATACAAGTATAATTAAAAGTTTAAAAAATAGATTACAAATGTAATTAATTTTTTTATCGTAGAAAGTAACGTCGTAAAAGCATGCAACATTTTACTATAGGAAGACGATTCTTTTAAAATAAATTGCGGAAAATTTGCGTAATTTACATTAAAAAAGAATCGTCTTCCTAAAGTTTACTTAATTTAAAAGAACTGTTTCGTAAATATATGGAAAAAAATTAGGGAAAAGACGAGCAGAATATTTTATCGGTAAGATATAGCACAGTCTCGAAATGGGATTAAATGTAACGAGAGTTGAATAAAGACGGGAGAGCTGCCTGAACTACTAAGCAATTTCGTTTCGAGAATGGATCGACGTAACTTTGTCGTTTTACTTGTCCTATAAAAGGTGGCGCGCCTTTGTTTTAGTAGAACGTCACAACGCAGCCCCTTGATCTTTTCTTCAGCAAACAAGGTGCATTATTCGATTCCCTTGGTATAAGTTTCGTACAATCAAGAAAACAGGCGCGAACCTGGAAAACAGCTACAGGTTCTGGGAAATTATGGCCGGGTATCCGTTAAATTATGTAAAGTGCTTCGACACAAATACCGAAAGAAATATTTTACTCTGTGAAATATCGTGAAGAGGGACTCTTTTGAACTTTTAGAATTAAATGCCCGATATTTTTGTTTTTCCTTAAATCTGTATTTATACTTCAAAGATTTAACTCATGAGACATTTTGTTTACTTTTAGTGTCACATTATGAATTTTTTGTATATACAATTTCTCGATGATAGTTTCTTGTTAATATTTTATAGTGTAAAATTTTTCCAGTTCGAAATTTGTATTAACATTAGAATGCTGTCATTATTGAGTGACACGGTATTGCTATCGATATTTTAAGTACAAGGAAGTAGGCCACTCGTAATTAATGTTACACAAGTTTGTCATAAATTTTATACTTTTAACGAGAATATTTATTATCTAGACTTTTATAAACAAAAAATGAAATATTAACTTAAAAGGAAAGAAGAAATAAGCATCAATTCAATCTTAAAACGATATGGAGTATGTAGTCTAATTGTGCGTATCTCCACATTTAAATAAAATATATAATAACACAAAATAATAACACTAAACTGCTTAAAAATTGAAATCACTTATTATTTTCTCTATTATAATAATGGCTACTAAGAGATTTAAACTGACACGTAACGAATAAAATTTTGAAAGCTTTGCTTGTTCTTTTAATACAGCAGATTGGATCCCCTACTAATTACCATTGGAGACATAGCTTAGTGCTCAATTACTTTGCTCACTTGTACGTAAAATTTATGTATCGTTAGCATTTTAGGATTAATTATTTTTTTCTTATATATAATTAACGCTTTATACGATAAATTATTCCCAAAATTGAGAATTTTTTATTTCGTAGTTTCTTTGTAAGCAGAGATTAACGGTTTACTTACTGCAATGTCATCTAATAATTAATTATAATATATTCAGGAGTTATCGGATCTTGAATGTGATGTAACATTGAAGAAGCCATATAATAGATCGAACTGACCCTGTTTCGCTTATTACTCAGTGACAGCACGGATAACCATCGACTTATTTCTAAGGCTTTAATCATTGCTCTCCATCTGTCATGTCTGTTAAGAATCTTTTTTTCCTAGTTGAGAAGAAAAATTACTGTTTGGTTGAATATATGTTTTATTAAAATCTCTATTTCTGAAGTAAAAAGTATCTTTAAAAAATATTATATATATAAATACAAATATAAATTATTAAAAATATAAATATAAAATATATAATTTACGTTTGTAATGAGAACATAAAATAATATAAAATAGATTCGAAGAAATATTCAGTAGACATAAATTAATTTAACGTAAATTCAGAAATTTCAGACAATGAACAAATGCTTCGCATATTTATTTAGTCGAACGAACAACAGACTTTGACGAGACCATAAACTGCAACAGATGTTCCAGCAGATGCAATAGCATCAATAATCGTTCATTTTGAGTTTCAAAGCTAACAGAGAAACACGAATTCAATAATTATTTAAACTTTCATTTATTTCATATTATACTTATTAATTTAATTTCGAAATATACGGTCGTGCTATTTTGTTATTAAAAATACGCTATTACTAAAAACGGAGTTGCCTGCTTTGTGGATTTATTCACATGCGGAAACGTTATGATTCAGGGTAGGGAAACCGAGAATGACGTAACGCTCATTGTATAATCATATATTCATTGTATAATCACACAGTCACGTTTCGCGCGGCTCTGTTTATCTCAGCATCGTAAGAGAAGCTTGGCAGATCAGCGCGAATTCTCTCACCTTCGGAATTTCTTATTCTCGCGATGCGTGACCGTGATTTTACGACGGTCGGGTCATTCGACGTCTGATGGAATCCCGGATCGTCGATAAGTCCTGAGTCGCGAGATGACGTGTCGATCGATACTTTGTCACGTGCGATTTGTCCGATCTGTTCGTTCGAAGAGTAATTTTCCTGGGAGTTTCTAATACTATCATTCACGTATTTCTCCAATATAATGCTCGTTTGTACACCGTTTGAATTATTTTCTCGATCGTTATTAATCAACCGGCGATCGTCGGTTTCGTTTTGTTTCATTGGTTCTTTTCTATCGGTCTTCAGAAAATCTTGGGTCGTTTTGGAAGATTCGTCTTCGAAAACGCGTCGATCACTGCCATTCGTTATCTCGCTATTTCTCGTCACGTTACTGAATTCGCGAATAACATACGATTCAACAGCATCGAGACTCTTTTTGTTATATCGATTCTTTTTTTCGATAATTGGATTGACATTGACAGAGTCTCTATCGAGTCTCTGCTTCGTTTTAATTTCGGGAATAGTCATGAACTTCGACGTGGAAGACGTGCCTTCAACGTTCAGAGTACTTACAGAATCCACGAATTCTACAGGCAGATCATTATAAGTCTTTTCTTCGGATATATTTTCACTCGCGGATTTACCGTGTCGATTTACCGAGATCGTGTTCTCCGTGGGACTAACTGTCGAGTTAAACACTTTTTCCGCGAACGAATTGTTGAATCCGCTGGACTTCGTCGTCTCTTGCGACGAATGTCGCCTCTGAGCGCGCAGGGTGTCCACGAGCGAGTGTCTCAGCTTCAGCAACGCCGTGTTTAATTCTACTTTTTTGTCGAACTTTATTTTATTTTGGAAATCATCGACATTGTACATGTGGTGCGCCATGCGACCCATGAGAAGAGGTTTGTGCATGGGATTGCCTTCGCTCTGCAGGAGGAAGTTGCCGTCTTTCTTCGTCTCCTCCGGGGCTGGCGCGATCAGGAACTGCATCTGCGGATCCATTCGCAAACGTTCTCGTTGTATGAACCTCGGATTCGGTGGTTCCCACAGGAATATGTAATAAGCACTCAACAGAATAGCCACGAAACTCACTGAGAACAGATAGGCCATCACGGTGAGCACGCGGATGATCTTCTTAGATCCACGATTCTCGTAGATCTCCGCGTTCGGATCCTTCGCCGGTACATCTACCGGAGAATCCGGCGAGAAAGCGTCCTGCGATCTTCCCTCGCCGCTGCTGTCCTCCCTGCTCATCTCGACTCGTGTGTGATCTTCGGAATGTCTCAACGTGAAAATCTGAGATTGATCAATTCGGTTTTCTCAGTCATGACTCTGTGTTCTCGTGCGCATTGCGGGAGAATATATCTTCTCTTCGCTGTTCATCGCGAGGCTGATTCTCTCGAGAAATTTTTCTGTGCAGCTCTCCGATGAATTATTTGCACACAGCAAAAATGATGATCTTTGACGATTCTCGGCGGTTTTTATCAACTGCCATTCGTAGGTAAGTAAAGGAAACGAGTTTGTTATCTATCGTTTATTTTAGCGTTCTTTTCGAGCCTGGCTCGTGTTAATCGCTTGATCGTTTGTTGCTTCAAGAACCTATATATAAGGATGATAAATACGGAAGAGAGACGCTCGTCCGCTGATTGAGGGGAAGCGTCCCGGTAGCGACAACACGCGCGACTGCAAGCTCTCGGCGAGCGACGCGCCGCGGGAAAGCTCGGCTTTGCGGAGTTCACCACGTGTTCGACAGCTTGCGCAAGCGTCCTCGCTTACCTGCCACATGGCTCGAGCTTACATCAAATCTTGACAACAGTCCGACAGTTTCCGAGTGACTTACGAGAGGTTCTTTTACGAGCGATCTATCGCTGCAAAACAGAACGTCATTTCATTTCGTCGGCGAAACTATATCGATTTTATTAGTCCATCTTTTCATTATATAGGTACTCGCGTTTATTAGAAATTTATTATTAATCTTGAGAATTTTCATTTCGCGGCAATTTCTCTTCCTTTTCCGCGACAATCGCGTCGTCCTGCTTAAACTGCAGCGATCTCGAGGAGTTCGTGCTGGTAACGGAAGTAAATGATTTCTGATCGTCGGAATCCTCTTCTTCACGCTCCGAAAAGGTATTAACGTCGTCTCTCGAGCAGTTCAGCAATTCGTCGGATATCAAGCAGTCTCTATTACGCTGTCCTACCTCTTCTAAAGAAGATTCTGTGGTCCTTGAAGATCCTTCAGGGCATCCTCTCTCTTCGACGTTCATAGACAGATTACTGCTCGCCGAGTTGAGTTGCCGCAGCAACCGATGCAGCCAGTTCCGGAAGTACTCCTTCATAACGATCTCGTTTTTGCTTTTCGTGGACAGAGACCGGACTTCTTCCGGACGCTTCTTCTCGGCTTTTAAAAATTCCTCAAATTTCCGGAAGTCCTCCGCCGTGAAAATGTTCCTGTTCAATCTCACGCCAAAATCGGTCAACAACGACGTCAATCGCCATTTTTTGTTTTTTCCGTTTTGTTGTTGTACGTGATTGTTTGATTTCCAACCGCTTTTCCCGGCGGAGATAGATCCTTGCTTCGAAACAGGGTCAGATTTTTCCAAAGTGATCGAGGTATTTTCTTCTTCCTCCACGGAAAGTGTCCGCGAACTTTCGCCATTTGTCTCCACGGTTAAAGCTGTGGAAGCTCTCTCGGATCCGATCGATACGAACGGCAAATTGGGAATGGATTGTTGCTCGTTGAGTAGACGAAAGATTTGTATTAGTAGATCATTGGATCCTTTGAAAGCAGAGGACGTTGACACGGGCGTTTGTTGATTCTGCTGCGCGATTAACGAATTCAACGCTGGCATCAATGTGGGAGCGTATAACAAAACGGCCAGCCTGTATAAGTATAATAATTAATCCTAAATGAGATTTTTAAAAGTCGTTTATAAAAAAAAATAATTAGGCTCTCTCTCCTGATCACTTAACACGGATATTTATATTGATGACATCAGAAGTGAGAAAATAAATAAATAAAAATATGAAAATTCTTGCAAAATATATAAAAATAGAAATATTTCTCAATAAGTATTTGCATTTAATAGAATACACTTGTAAAATATACTGAAAACTCTCCTTTTCAAAATTAAGTAAAATTATGTTTATCTTAATTCAACAGATGTTGGTATAGTTTAGTATTATTTTTTGAACGTATAATTCAATTCCAAATATATAATTATTTATTAATAGCACAAAGCAAGTTTTCGGCATATTTTACGAATCTATTTTATAGATTGTAAATATTGTCTTATTTAATGTAGTTTGCAAGAATTTTCTCTTTGTGTATTTTTGTAACTTCTGACGTCAAAATCCAATATGACTGCAGTGAGTAGCCAGGAATCTTAATTTTACTTCATTATGAATTATTAGAAAACGTTATATTTTCCTCGATTTTAATTTCGTATTAAGTACGTGTCATAAACGATATCATTGAAACCATATCTTGTATCCTTATTATCCATTCAAACTCCGTTGTCATTAACAATTCTTGAGAGATATTTTTATACATCTTGAAAGGGCAATAAAAAGTACTTAAAAACGAATATGAATAAATAAGCGGACCATAAATACCTCAGAAGCTGTATCGTGAGACCGCTAGAATCTAAAGTCGGATCAGTGGCCGATGAGTGAATTATAGGATTGTATGTTGTGTGTACTGTGCTCCTCGGGGTCGGCGTTCTTCTTTCAATTCGCGGATTCGCTCGATTATCCCGATCAGTGTTTGAACTGAAAATACAAAACCAAAGAAATCTCCTATATGATCGATAGATTATATTTATTTATAATTATTCATAAGATTATGACAAAATATTTCAAAAATTCGAAAGAATATTTTATATAATGAGATAGAAAAAAAGCGAAAGGAAAGTGGACAGAAATAAAAATATACTTTTATAAACCCTGTGTTATCAGGATAATATAATGTTTCTTTAAAAGAAATATTTTTCTAAATAATTTGAAAGATGGTTTGCTGAAATTCAAGTAAAAATACTTAATTTCAATTATATTGAATTTCTCAATTGAGAAATGGTGAAATTTAATTAGATGAAATGCTGTTAAATGAAATACCATTATTGTAAAATACATTGTTCTCACAAAAATTGCATTTTAAATAAGTAATGTTTGATTTTGTAATTTCCAAACAAAAATCAGTTACCCATTCGTACTGTTTCTGAGCCATAATTACTTAACGTACCGTTCTCTGTCACGAACCGCTTAAATTTCTCAATTACATTATTACCCATATACATATAGCACAGATCAATCTAGCAATATTACAGCAACATTGCTAGATTGATCAGTGCTATGTATAGGTAATAATAATTGTTACGAAAATCTCATAAAACGTAGGCCTTGCTTGATAATCTTCCAACAGTTAACTTGTTGGCATAATGCCGATAAATAAGATGATTCATATGTATAAAAATTATAAGCTTATTTCAAAGTATCAGTTTCTGGATGGGATATTAATTCGGAGAAATGATGAAATTTAATTAGATGAAATGCTAACAACTTAATTTCGGATTATTTTCCGGAATCAGATTGTTAGCCTAATATCCAATCTCCAGCCTGGAGGGATCCATACATACATATATTCACTGATATATAGGATCTACAAGTTTAACGTCAAATCTGAACGGCATTAGTGATCTCAAAGATCTCATAACCACGGAGTCATTTTCGGCTCCTTAACGCAAAAAAATCGCGTATGTTGACGCAGGTGGGATCGAATCTACAGGTGGATCTATAGATCGCGAGTCAATCGCACTGAGTGGTAAGCCACTCGACACTCCATAATTTCTGTACTGTATGATACGTTTTTTGCGAGTATTAATGTATCACATTGTACACGCTAACATTTCTACAAATTTTTCCTCATGTTTTTTAATTTAAAAGACTTAAAGTTTCGAGTCCAATAATCAAAGAGAAAATCAGCTAAAAATAATCTTTTAAATCCTCGGAACTTCTTTAATTTTTCCTTTTTTTTTCCGCTGCATTAAATTCTACCTAAGATTATACCTTTCTGCAGAAAGTCTTCTTCGATATTGCGATTTTTCCCTTTCGTTCCTTCGAGACGAAGAATTACCGCGAAGTTGATTATCTGTCTCCTCCTTGTGAAACATTCTCAGAAAACTCGCGTATTTCGGCGTAGACACATGCCTTTTCCAGAACGGTTTTCCTTCCGTCGGCATCCTGCTGTTCCTGAGTCTACTCCTAACAACCTTCTCGTCTGGCGTGAATGTCGTTAACGTATCTTTGACACGCGGTTCGATCCTTTCGGTCAATCTCGGCCAATTCTGCTGGCTGCCAGCTTCTAAATCGACCGCTATCGCTCGATCTTCCAGAACGTCGAGTTTACGTTTATTGCCACGTCCTTGTCCAGCTATGTTTTGATCAGTTGCGACTCCTGACTCGGCGGTTTGCAACAGGACATTTCCCTGACAGCTGACCGGATCGATCGATCGTTTATCGCTGTTATTTATCGCGACGGGCTTGACGGGCCTCGATTCAGCCGAATCAGAAGTCTTCACCGCGTCGTTGATGATTTCACTGACACCCTGGCACGCTTCCATCGACTCTTTCGAGCTACGCTTCTTTATCGTTCCGTTGTTGTTTTGAGCCAGTGAAGTTCCAGCGTAGTTCTGCAAAGCCTGGGTAATGTTAGATCCACCGGATGTTACCGTGAACCGAAATTATTGCGTGACAGGATGAGTAATTTCATATTTTTTTTCTTTTTTATTTCGTACTTTGGAATGCAGAATCAATTGATATTTTATAGCGGAACTTGGAAGTCGCTATAAAGGCGGAATTTTCAAATAAACAAATAAAAGAGTCACACTGTGCCGTAAATTTACTCATCCAGTCGCAAAATAACACAAATATTGTGACACGAATCGTAAACATTTATTTTACATGAAAAGAAAGCGGTATTTTATTTCGACACACCATACGAATACGCATATTATCTGTCAGAATATTGATATGTCCTATTAGAATTAGAAAAGTTTGCTGTATTTTGAAGTAAAAATAACAGTAGACGCGACTACACATTTTACGAATCGATTTGTTCTACTTCATGCCCATCGCTATTTTAAGATTGTTAATATTTCTGTCAGCAGGTCACAGTTTATTACTTCACTCAATATTTATCTGAGAAATATCTGCAAAATTAGATGTTCCTAAAAAATCGTGTTATTTACAAACGTGACAATCAAATATGCGATAAATAAATAATCCGATGTTGTTAAATTGAATTAACTTTAAATCATAGAAATTGTTTAAATACGCGCCAATTCATAGCTCGTAAACTATGCAGAAAAAACGGTTTGCTAAAATATCTAAAAATTTAGTTAAATAGAGATTTGAAAATAATTCTATTAGACCAAATCAAAATAATAATATAGACCGTCTAAGCTGGTTACTAGAATGCCAAAACTTTTTGCAGCATACATCCTACATAATTATTTTAATTAGTCCAACAAAATTATTTTCAGATCTATTTCTAATTAAATTTTTAGATATTTTAACAAAATTCTTTTCGATTCCATGTATAATGTATGATAATACTTGTTGAAAAAAACATCGATAGTACAGCGCACAAATATGTACCAAAGTGCAATAGATACTTATTTCTTCGGAAAACCGATTCTAAAGTTCAATGATGTTACATTACTAAATGACAATTGGATCGAAATTATAATTTTAGTTTGCTATTGATAACACACGCTAACATCAATTTGTTACTTGATATAACTATACATAATAGAAGTCGTGCAAGCTTACGAATACCTACAGTGACCCATTCTTAAGTAACTCTTTCATTCGTCGAAGCTGCACTTATATAAAAGTGTACTGTACTATCGGGTATTATATTAAATAACTTTTACGATATCTCTAATTACACGGATTTGATTAACGCACATTATTGTTTAATTGCAGCTTCTGGACTGTCGCGTTGAAGGCGGAAGTTCGCGGAGAATATTCCTTGACAGTTCTCGGTGAGTTGTTAAGCTTCTAAAAAAATCGTTAATTGCATCGTTTTGCAAATCAGTAAATAATTAGCATACTATACGACAAATTGTAATATGACTTTTTGTTGGAGACCGTTAATAGAATAATGAACGATATTATATGGAATTACGAGATAATATATTACACTGGGAGAAAAGTGTTTGGTATTTGTGACTATAATTGCATAGTAAAATAGTTATAATTAAAAGTTTCCTTTTTATAGTTATTATTATTATAAAAATGTTAGTAAAAACAATTATAATTCTACATATAAAAAAATATATGTTAGCATCGAAAAAATGACTATAAATTTATTATAGTCATCGCGCGTGCCAACTATTTATTTTTTGTATGTAAAACTATGCATAAATATAATCATTATTACTATAACATTATGAAGTAACAACTATAAAAATGAAGCGCCATCATTATTTTATCAATTATAGTTACAAATACCAAATACTTTTCTCTTGCAATGTAAAAATTTAAAACGTTATATGTAATAGTTTTACGCAACTATTACTATTTTTAGAATATGATTAATTAAAAGATAATAATATGTTCTATATTATTACTTCGGGCGAATTTTCTTTCTGTCTTGCTGGTTGTTGATTTTGCGAGCAACCGTAAATGTTCATTCTATCAGCGATGCAGCATTCGTGTCCAGATAATGCACAAGCTTGACGATTGTTTCTTTCCCGTGGATTGACATGGCGCTCTTGTAACTCTGGAGAAATCCTCTCGGAACATGTTCGATTTCCGGTAGGAAATTTATTCCAATTACACGTCGCCGCACGCTGCAAATCAAAAATCGAAATGAACACATCGACATGATCTAGATTTTATTGTATAGAAAAAATTTTTATTTTGGATTATATAAAAGTGCGATCGAACCTGATTATAAAACGCACTCGGACATCCCGCAAATCTGTCGCGTTCGATGAGAGGTGCTAGTATTCTTGCCCTCATTAATTCCCTCTCAATCACTGCATAATTTTCATTGATCTGCCTTATATAATTTCTAAGTAAAACGTTATGCCTGGCTGCGTTATTGTTGCACAATGTTCGGTGAAATCCGTTACGAGATTGTGTAGAATGAGGTCTTATGTTACCCCTGGCGTCACTAATAATTTATATTATTAAACTGCTGGATAATAATTTAAAAGAAAAGTAAAAAGTACAAAAAGTTGTCTCTACTTAAGATTAATATAATTATTTAATATAATTAATGTAAATTGTTACATTACATTAATTTGTTACATTAAAATAATAAAATATTGTCTTTGTTCCACTTTCAACGAGAAAAAAAAATATAAGAAAAATAATTGCTTTATTGAGGTAGAGAAGAAATTATAAATTAAATATTTAGAGGGACAAAAAAGTACATTCTCTGAAAGAACTCTCAAAAAGATGAAACTGCTTTCTATGTCTTAAAACAGAATAGTGTAGTAAGCCTTAAGGAATTAATTAATCATAGTCAAATGTGGGAAGAATTAATATTCGACTATATGATTAGTATGATTGATATATCAATTTCTTAAGACTTAGACTTACACCTATTGTATTTCGGAATTATAAGCCCAAATCTTATAAAGTACTTTGTATAATAATTTGGTATATACATAATTTTTAAAATATAAAATGAAAAAATAATCCTTCTTAAGAGACAAGTCTCCAAGAGAGAGGGGAAAAGTATGAATTACAGTTGATAGGTTTCCTCTGGTTCCAAGCGATTGCCATCGTCGAGAATGGTAAAGCTCACATTGACTCGCAACCCTTGATTTGACGGGAGAGACAAAGAGGATAGATGTCTCATTAAGTGATTAGCGCGCAGCAATTCTGGGAGACGTATATCGTAGCTTTGATTCGACGTGAGCAATCGGTCCCAATAATTGCAGAGAAATTCAAGATCGTGTCGAGTTCTCCGATAAAGATTGTCTGTTGGTTGCAAATAGATCGATCGTTTCGGCATTTTTACGTTTCGTAATAGAGTAACTGAGAATTTCGAGAGATTCGCGTTGGCCTAAAAATATGTGATTGTAGGTTGTGAATTTTTTTTTCGCTTAGATCGTTATTTGTTCTCCTGGCCACATCGATCACGCGACTCCATTTTCTGCAACTTGAAATGATTTCTTTGCATGACTGACAATTGCTGCGTTCCACTTGGCGTTCACAATGTTCTTGGAATCATTTCATCTTTGTTGTTTATCAAATATTAAACGAGGACAAATAATATTCACGAATGTGTGAGCGCCAAGTGGGACGCATCTTTAATATCCAACTATATTTTATTTTTATGCTGATTACAGCGTAGTCTAAATTTACTCTTTCAGTCGTTATTTGATAAATCTACAAATCTTTTTACTAAAAAAATCTTTTTTTCTAAAAATAGCCAAATATAAAAAATAACAATAATTAATTCTTTTTTATAAGATAAAGTTTAGGTACAATAATATTGCTTTCGTAAAAATTGCACACTGTAGTGGCATAATGTGACATATCTTGGATACGTCTTGTTTAATGTCATTCTCTAATTGAAGTTTACATGATTTTTTTCATTTCCAATTGGTAAGTAATGAATATGAAATAAACTACCGACGAAATATATAAAATGTATGAAACTCGTTAGTTTGGAATATCAATAAACATCCGGCGATTTTATCGATACTTTTTAACGACATGTTGGATCATAGAAATGGAAATGTACGATCGAAATTTATGCCGCGACCGCGTGAACATCATTCGCTGCTTCCTGTGTATATTTTCTCAACGGTGCGAGCGGTCTGATTAATGGTTACACATACAGAAAAACAGTATTTGCGGTGAACGAACTATAAAGCTATGTTTGTATTATAGTCGTTTTTTGTCTAATTTGTAAAAAAATCTTTGTGATTTTTTTTATATTAAAAAAACCTGATAAAAACAAAAGAACATTAATAGATTCATTCAGGACTGCTACTATATTTAACCGCTGTATTTAACTGCTGTACCTCTGAGTTGGAGTTGGCCACTATGCAACATTGATAATTTGGAGTTGCTAATATTAGCTATTGATGGAGAAGCCAATATTGTCAATTTATGAAGCTGTCAAGGCGCTGCCAATATCAGTTATTCATGGGACTGCCAATGCGCTGCCAATATTGACATTTCGTCATATTACAATGCTCCTACTAATATTGGATATTAATGAAAATGTCTACAATTCCAATAATGGCTGCTCATTGAATGCCAATGTGTTGCCATCATCAATACTGGCAATTCATGGGTCTGCCAATGCGTTATATTGGCTATTCATGAAATGCTAATACGCTGCTTATATTGCACGCCCATGATGATGCTAATGGATGCTTTCATTTGATGACACAGTCGATACTAACGTGTATCATTCTTGCCATTCAATGAGTAACAAGGACGGAATGACTACACTTGTGTCACCAAATGGAAAGCAATATTAGGTTCCGATAGTGGATTTCCCATTTTACATTGCATTAGCTCATTGTTATTTATCTGATTATTTTATTTTATTTTATCATTTTTGAGCATATCTCTTAACTTTTGATAGGAAAAGAACTGAGTATAAATAATAAATAGTAAATTTTAATTCTGTGTTTAAATTCTACAGTGAAAAAAATTTACGAAATTTGAATAAATATTTGTTTAGATAGTACCAATGGGACCATTTGCTTACAAAAAATAAATTATTATATTTATTCGATTCAAAAAATGATATTTAAATTAAGTATAATTTTTTTAATTGAACAAATACTTCTTTCCTGTAAGTAAATTGCCACCGAGTACGCAAATCCTACATTTTGCGTACTCGGTGGAAATTTTTCTATATAAAAAATATAAATATGTATATGAACATATAAAATATGTATATGTACAATTATATATGAAATATGTAATATTCATATATCCTTCTTTCTTTTATAAATTTTTTTTTCTTGTACCAATAAAGAGAGAATTTTAATTTTACTTCCATAGCAAAAATACACGGAGAAAATTTTATATTAAGTTTTAATACAATTTTTAAATTACACTTTACTATGTCTTGTATTTTCGATGGAATCTCACAACATGATTCCGACTTAACTTTTACTATGGTAATATTAATTTTTATCACATAAATAAAGTAATTATTTTGTTAAGCCATATTCTAACATGAAAACAGTTAATTTTTATTATGGTACGCAAACAAAATTTGCTAGGTATATTTGATTTTGTAATAAAAAATTTTTACTATGAAAAAGTGTAAAAATTATGTTATATTATTGTTTTTAAAAAATAACTATAGCATTTAAACTTATAATTTACATGAAGACAGCAGCTACTACCACATTATAGTAATTTTAAATATACAATTTTCTCCGTGTAGTCATATTCACGTCACAATAGAGTTACAACGGTCAGGAAAAAAAATATGATGTCACTGTGAAATCATAATAAAATAACATACGTTACAAAGCATTCGCAGATTATATAATTATGTTTATATAAGATATTATATGTATACGAGCATATATATTTATATATGCTTTTATATAAAAAAATTTTTACCAGAATATTATTTTAAAAAATTCTTATGCTAAAATTGAGCAGAAATATGGACAAAAATTTTCGATACTGCATAGATATATATGATATGAAAAACGTCGTATTTTTATTTTCATAAAAATACGAAGAGCAGTATTTTTATGCAAACAAACGGTGGGATTTTTGAAAGCTTACATCAAAATTGCACGCTGCACTGAGATTATACTAGCTGCTCTTTTTATTGCGCCCCGGCAACTCTGTAAATCTCAGGTTGAGAATCACTGCTCGAAGGAACGACGCCATGTTGCGTGGACGTGGACGCGCTGTGATAAAAAATATCAAAATTCGACGATGGCACTTGATGGCGCTATTCGAGCAGACAGAAATATGACAGAACGGTAAGAGTCGAGATGTTATCGTGTTTTTTTCCATGTGTTTGACAAGATTGTGTGGCACAGTCGTATTTGAAGTGACTCCGGGATGTGCCGTGTATTACAATCGATAAGATACGCGAGCTCTCGACTATTATACGCCGCCAGTTTGTCGCTGCGGATGTAAACATAACCTAATTCTAACCTAGAGACGCAATCTCAATTATTCCTACCGCTGACACCGCTCTTTTTCCGTGAGTACCCTAGAAATCCTAATCTTTAACTCGAACCTGACTTTATCCTATTCTCAACCATGTGTCAGATTCTGCAGACTTGTTTTTAAAGTGCTCGCGAAGGTGCTTGTAACATATCTACTCCTAATTTCTATATTACTTATATGTATGTATGCTGACGCGGCTGTTATTAACGAATTCTTTTAATTGATCGAAATTTAATTTTTATTTTGCTCGTTCTTGTTACATTAAAACATTTATTGCGCAATATATATATATATATATATATACGTATATATATATATATATATATATGACTGTCATTGGTGTTGCTGTGCATGCAGTGCGATTTGCTGCGCATTTGTGCGAATGTCGCAAAACGTCGAGGTTGCGTGTTACGCGGCACGTTAGTTGACTTTTCTAAAGTTGACTTTTTACATTGCATTCCATGCAGTAGTTAAGATACACGTATATAAACAGTATTTGCGTTAATTGCGATTGGCAACGAGCATGTTGTTTTGCTGGGAACGTCCCTATCATGTTTTTAATGTACATACATACATCCGACGTAGATTACGTGGATTATACACTTAGCTGTAATCCATTATCCCTTCTTTTTGAGCTTTACTTTGACTCATCCTAAGATGTATTAATGAGAAACAAATAATGCACAGAGAAATATATCAATAAGAAGGATCTAAAGAGAATTGGCTTGTCTAAGTAGAAGTGCTTTTTGTAATATTTCTTTTGAATTACTTTCTCTTTTTAATATTTTTGAGTGTTGTTTTTTATCACTGGATTGTAAAACTCGAAATTAAATAAGTGTGAAATTATTGTATAGGTTAGCAATCTCTCTTGTCTCTTGACTATCTTATGCCATTGGTTCCTTCGACTTTCATTTGGAAGCATGTGATTCCAAGGATAAGGAAGAGTTTTCGTTTATAAGATGTTAATTGTTTGTAAATGTTAATAGATATTAGATGTGTAATTTTTGTTTGTATTTTATTAACACATGTTATTGTTAGCTGTGATCATATTTATTTAAGGAAGTAGGTTTAAATTGTTGTTATGACAATTTGTTTAGGATATATGATACTTTATGAGTGTCTTTTGATCGACCCGTTAAGATGGAAGACGAGGAGTGCTTTCAACCAGTCTTGAGCTCTCAGGAGGAAGATAATTTTCAGCAATTAAACACCGTGTCGGTCGTGTCGATTCCACTTTTACTTGGAGTAGGTATATCTTGCTTGGTGTGATACATTTTTAGATTTTTAGAATAATTAAAGGTCGGTTTGGATACATTGGAGCAACTTTTGTATCATAGGTTTTGTTGGAGATCACTGGGATTGTATTTGTGTCTATTTGGTCAAAGGAACAGAACAAATGTGACACGTATTTTATATACTTATATCTTCACTGCGCCTATTGGCTAATAGTCATGGCGATAGATCACGTTGTCAAAGCGAGACACCATAATTTGCGTATTAATGGATACCTAGATTTCTATCAATCAACATATCAACTTATAAGGACGCCCCTTTTCCTCGCGTCGTTATGGAATACATGTTACTTGTTGCTCGCTGTGATTCTACATCATACACATAAAGTTGACTACGAGCGGTATTGCAGGAAGTCAGAGTGGTTAACGCCACTTAATTATATTTTTCTCTTAACCACTTTGGAACTCATGATAATCTTACCGGCTTACGTTCATTATATCAGTAAGTATCTTGCAAAGATAGAATATGTGTGTGTCTAGAGAGAATTAATTAGCTTGATAGAAAAAAGTTTTTATAGAAAAATAATTTTCTTGAGCTTTTATGTAGTATTACATACGTAAAATTTATATAAAGCGAAATATAAAAATCATTAAATTTGAGATTTTATCAAGATTCCTTTCTCAGAGAAAGAAAATGTTTTATTTGAGGATTAAGATATTTATATTGTGAATCTTAAGTAATATATATAATTGCACTAACATACTAAACTCTCAAAAGTTATCATCCTTTATTGCAATCTACCAATATTTGTTTCTCGTGTAGAGAGAGTTATGAAGTTTAATCGATTACGTCCACCGCCCGATGTTACTCGCGACGAATGGCTGTCGCCCTTTACACAGGATTCTTACTCCGGAATGGGGGAAATCGGGTATCGGCAAAGGGGGAGGAATTTGGAGGAACTGCTGGAAAAGCAGGCAGACATGATAAGATATCTGAAGGATCACAATGTAAAGCTAAGTCATAGAATAATGCTATTAGCGTCTCAACACAGAGCGACAGAGACATAAAGTAAAACTGATTACATATCTTTTATGAAATTGACGCTTATTATTATCTATAATAATAGTAACATTATATCGGAGATCAGAATTATAATTTTTTTAATGTGGTACATATAACATGTCTTTTAATAAATTCGATCACAGATGTCTATACTAGTACTAGATCACTAACTTCGACAAAAACGCTGTAAACGACCGGATATCCGTTTGAGTTCAATGGCCGCTCCAATCATTTTGCATATAAACAACACATACACATCGTACACATATATAACACATATATCGTCGCTGCCATTAAATCAACTCAGAAGTTAGCGATCTAGTACTAGTATCTGTGAGTTCGATGCATCAGATATAATAACTGAATTTCGGTATATAATATATAATAAATGTACATATATTTAGAAAAGTCACATTATTACTGCATAAGTTTGCTAAAAAAAATACTTCATAACTGTTTAATTAATCATTATGGTTGGTAAACTACATGTTTTAAACTGTATAAAATGTTTTTTTTACTGTTTAAAGCATGTTTAAAAAATTAAGACATGTTTAGAAAGAAACACTACGCGTCGTATTCTTTTTAAATAAAACATTAATCTTTGCCAACCTTTAGTCAGTCGTAAATTCTTTCTGTTTCATGTCTTTGGGACATATATCTATCTGTCGCATGAAATATATTACTTTTATATCCACTTGTACACTTATAATTGTATAGATTTATTGTAAATATATAACAAAGATCTGAGCTTAAAAAATGTCATTATTTAATATTTGTCGTATAATAAGACGTTACTGAATGATTTATTAGAATCATATTATAAGAATAACTTTTTTTAAAATATAGAAATATTTATTAATATGTCAATGACAAAATGCTTGAGGAAGAGGAGGTATTACTGCGAAAAAAATGCAACTATACGTTCATTGTCAACTCAATAAAATATATGTATATTTTTTCCAGTAGCAACCATCATTTTACATACATTATTATTTCGCATACATGGGGCTATATAAATAATTAGTCAAGCAGCGGTTTCTCTTAATAAAACTCAACAGCGTGTCGTCGTATCTCACACGTTACGATTACATTGAAAATTTACATATAAATCTCGATTACGTTTATATTAACTCGGCGTGATATAATATTACATTGCATTTTCTTGAGTCTCAAAAAGCAGCCATTTTCCATTGCAGCGATAGAAAGCGGAACCGAGCTAAAATATCGAGCTAAATTATGAAGCCATGTTTTTCCTGCTCGCAATATTTACTCGCGCGAAATCAGTATCGCGTCTTTTCTCAGCGTTTCGTTACAAACATTATGATAAATGTATATATCATATACAGCCGCCTCTATAACATGCAGTCGTACGAATAATATAGTATAAGTAAAAACTACATATGGTGACATAGGTTTATACGTATCTGTAGTTCTCTTAAACGTAATATTATAGTAACGTCCGTAGGAATCTCGCAGCAGCAAAAATAATGCAGATTTTTCGTTTCGCATTCGTTCCACGCGCTACTTCCGCAGTCTTTCCGAGTATGTTGGAGAAATTATTGCCTCGCAATATCACTTTCAGTCGCGAAATTTCCTTTAAAGCATCTTACGTTTCTGAGCAGCTAAAATCATTCCTGTCTATTTCTTACATATTCTAGGACTCTCTTCTTAGTTTATACATTGCGCCAGTCGATGATACAACGATCAAGATATCTTTTCTGAAGTTTCTTTATCGCATCTGTTCTCAAGCAACTAAAATTACAAAATTATTCACATATATTAATAAAAAGAGTATAATCCATAATTCTATCTTTTTAAACATTCTGAAAATATAAAGTTTTACGAAGATTTAGAGTCGTTTATTTTCCTACATAACCGTACTGGAAAAACAATGTGAGCGGTCGTTATTTCAGTCGGTGAGAGAAGCGAGAGAACGATTGATAATTTAGTTCGAATTGGCGATTTATCTTATGACGTCTTACGAATTAAACGAGGAAAAGATGTCCTGATTGTCGATTGGCGTAGGCTGGCACAATGTGCAATAATAGACATCTTTACACTAGGGCTATATTATTTAACACAGGTCTACTTATGTGTCTCTTTAAGTATGTATATATAAGTCTATATAAATGCCTAATAATACCTATGTCATCTGGATGCGGGTCTGACGCGGCACGTGTAGAAAATTAGCAGAGATGTCATCGAGACTTAAGCCCATTTTATATAAATTCTATGTTAACAGTAAAATGACGAAATTAAGTAGCATTATTTCCGCGTCTTTTCTTTTAGTTCTAGCGATTCCTCTCGAGCTTCATAAGGCAAACCCGAATGTACCGATAATTGAGCTAACGTTTTGTGTCTTTTTCTTATAGTTTTAATTACAATTTAATTGTAAAATCATTATTGTTTTGTTCGTGCATATTTTTATAAACAATTTTTTTATTAATTTAATATTGTTAATACATCTTATAATCTTTTATTGGCAACATTAATTACTTGAAATTAGATTAGATTATTTGAAATGAAGTATTCTTCAAGAAAGAAGATATGTCTTTTAATAGTTTAATAGTTCCGCAATTCTACTCACGTAATCGTGACAGAGAGCTGGGACTACGTCACAGAAAGAGGTACAGAAAGTCGCTAATCAGGATTAATTGGTGACAATCGATCGGTACGGCCGGGCCTCGTTATACATGTGTAATGGAAAGAAATCTATTTACAAAAGAGTCACGTCCTCTCCGTCAGACCCGACAGATTCGCCTTTATCGTACACGTATATTTACGATATTACAAAACTAGCTTACACTTATATGGAACACTCAACTCTACAACACTATATAAAACGTAGAAGCTTGTACACCCCGTTGTGTCTCGAGAGTAGGCTACGTGTGTTCGTGTACGACACCATATCCACTCCAGCACCTGCGTTTCCTCCGCGAAACGACGGCGCGATTGTCTCTCGCCGCCGTATCCGAATCTCGTGAAATTATATCGGAAACTCTTTCTCTCTCTTTCTCTCGGCCCACTCGCACCTCTTTTTTCATTTTTTTTTCTTTTATTAAGACTTCACTGCAAAATTTGTACTACGCTTAGGCCAGCCGTTGCTGCTGAGCTAGTTCGAACGGGCGGTAGTTCCCTGTTCCACGCGTTGTGAACAATACGCAACCGCGGCTTTCGCGCACGTTCCCCATAAAAGTGTTCCTCATTATTGTCGTATCTAGTGTTTTTTTTTTTTATTCAGACTTTGTTGCAAACAAGGGTTAAATAAGGACGATCCCTCTCACGGGAGACTGATTACGGTACCCTTCAGTTGTCGATCCTGTCAGTCGGGCTTTAATTCGATCTCGTGAAATCAGATGACGTATAGAAAGGCTTCGAATGTGTTACGTATTACGTTGGTGGAATTATGCACTCGATGGCGCATCTCGAACTTTTCAAACGGTATACAGATACTTTGTTGAATCACAAATAAAATTACGAGAACCTAGACAGCACGAAGTCTAAAATCGAGGCATATAAAACGTTTTAGGCTCTGCACACAATGGAAAAAATATAAAGGAATAGAATTAAATATTAAATACTAGAGACATAAAAAATTAGGAATATAGAGATAAACGTAACGCACAATGGATACAAATCGTATCATATTTGTATATATATTGTGCGTTATGGTTTAGTCTCTATTAATTTTTAATTTTTCTAATATTTATTATTTATTTTTTTCCTGTTCCTAATATTTTTTCATTTGTATGCGTTTACTGCCCGTTTTTATCAATGTAATTTAATTTTAATCTCGGTACAATTAACTCTTCATCTTTTTCTAATTCTTAGAATTAGAAGAAGATGAAGAGTAAGTTGAACCGAGATTAAAGTTAATCTGTATTGGCAGAAACGGATATAAAAGATGTCTTATATCCAGATATTGGATTTTGTGTTGTCTGATATGTTACTTATAATATAACACTACATATTGCAATAATAAATGCGCGTTTATATCGTATATAATATTATATACATAAAAATTTTATAAAATAAATTTTATATTAGGCTTTTAATTTGAATTTAATTTGAATTTCTATAAACATGCAAAATAATTATTATTTTATATATTTAATTGACATAAAACAATAAACAATGTGAAATTTAAACTCTTAAAATTTCTTTCAGAGGTTTGTCTCTAATTTGATTTCAGTTTTTATGTCAATTAAATCGAAACTGGTCAAATTAATCCGGAAATCAGAGAATATTGTTAAACAAAATTATAACGTGATACAAAAAAAAAACAAAAACAGAAAATAAAAGAAGTCATCTCGAGTCCAGATTTCTCTTCTCTCTTTCACAATTAACTCTTGGATGCACCGTTTACTTCCCCACAAACGTGTGTCCCATATTGTATCTGAATATTTCGGAGGCCTGTCCGGGGCGCATCCGAGAGTTAATAATCCAAACGTTCAGTGATGTTCGCATCATCAGCGTCTCGTTTGTAAATCGCGACGGACGACGATGGTCCGTCCGGATGGGATGTTGCGGTCGAGGCGAACGAAGGGGAAACGCGGTGAGGCGGTGGTGGTGGTCGGTCGTACGACGGTCGTGGTCGACGTAGTGGTCCCGACCCTCGGTGTCACCCTCGTCTCGGCGTCGGTGATAAAGTCGTAAAATCACGCGTGCGCGCCGCCGATTACCGCCGTGTTCCCGGTTGCCGTCGTCGTCGTCGCCGATAACTGCTCCTCCGCTTCCATCATCTTCAGCTTGCGCACCACCTGCGCGTGCTCCTCCAGCAACCTGGCGAACTCGCCTCGCCTGGTCTCGGCCTCCACCTGGATCTGCTTGATCCTCTCCCGCGGTCCACCGGGGCTATCCAACGGCGTCTGCGACGCTGAATTCTGCGAGCTGCTCTCGCGCGATAGCCCGTCCAGGTCGGAGCCGTCGCTGAGGATCGAGTGCGAGTCCACGTCGTCCACGATGAGACTGTAGGTATGATCGTTATGTAATAACAGTGACTTTAATGAAACAGATGTCAAATATGTGCAAAAGTTTCGTGATTTATTTGGAGATCAATTTTCAAAAATGCTGGTTTCATTCTCCATGCGCAGCGTCAGTTTATAATCTTTAATAAATAAGAATTAAGCTAAAATAAGGAGAAGTTTATCATTGATATATTATTAGTGAAAAAGATTTTACCAAGTAAGCATAGAAATTAAGTTATATATCAGGCTTTATTTGCTTTTGGAGGTATATTAATAAATTTATCGTGTTGTTTGCTTTTTAAATTTGATTTGAAAAAGAAATCTAATAAACCTAATTAAGCCATTTAGATCTAATTTGATCTAATTAGATTTAAGTTTGAAAATCAAACAAATACCATATAAAACACACTTTACGTTGGCAACCATGAACGTAGCCAAAATTTTGTTTAGAGGGGGTTAAATTAGAGTCGAAACTTTTAAAATCGGAGAAAAGAGGGAGATTAGATGAATGGACTTGTTTTGTTTTATATTATTATTTTTAATTAATTAATAGCAGATAAAAATCACACATTTAATCTACTAATTTACTTTATTTTTCTCTCAAAATTGTAAACTGATTCTTCGACTTGAAAAAACTTAAATTTATAACACTAGCTGTCTTGGAGATTTTCAGAAAATCTTTCTATAATTTCACCTCCAATTCTTTCTTTTTTTCTAAAATTGATTTTTGGTGAATACTCATTAAACATAGTTCGTGAATGTGTATTTTTTTGAAATTATTTTTGTTTTTTAAGATTTATGGATGGATTCTCCCCCTCTTGGCTACGCCTATGGCGCTGCACACATGAACAATGGTACCAGCATGCTTGAAAAAATTGTCCCTCAAATAAACTGAACTTTTGCCCACATCTGATAAAATTAATAAATAAACTGAGACTAGAATAGTCATGTCTAACGAAATCAAAGGTGCTAATAGAAAAACAAGATCGAAGCAATTGAATCATGTATTTTCTTGCCGTCAATATAGCGTCTAAATTGTCTTAAAGCGAAAACAATTACCGCTGATTATTTTAGTCTATGTTTTGAATCTGCGTTTTACTTTTTTCCTTTCGTTTTCAACAGATTACAAAATGACGTTCGTCGTTCTGCGTCAAATTTATTTTCGTGCTTATTTACTCCACTTTTTTGTGGGGGCTGACGTATGTACCTCGAGGGCTCGTCGTGTCGCGCGCGGGTGGCATTGCGGGTTGAAACGCGCGCGTAAATCTATATCGTATCTGCTATCGACGTCAAAGGAAAATCCGATTCGCTCTATGTATATACTTGATATGCGTACTCAGTAACAATACTGATCATTATCGGGCGCAGTATCATTACATGCAGCAATCGGAAACCTTCGTATCTCTTTTCGAAAAAATGCAAGGTGATTTCTGAGAATTATCTTATATGAATGTATTGTACGAGATTTCCATCGCACTTCGCGAGTACCGTCTCATCGAACTGGAACGATCTCGTTGAAGGAAAAATCATTCGCGCGTGAGTAGAAATTATTCGCGCGTACTTCCTCAAAATTTCAAAATGTCGCTCGGGAATTTTCGACGAATATGGAAAAATTGCGGGGGTGAATCTCTGCACAGCAAAGAGAATTTGCACAGCAACCCCAAGCAGAATAAAAAAATCGTGACATTAAAATAGTGTTAAAATGACTCCAAAGTGATGATTAAAAATTACTTTTCGATCAGTTATGATTTATTTTAACATTATTTTAATGTTATCATGATCTGTTGTTCTGCTTGAGAGGCGACAGAATGATTTTTTTTTTTTTCGAGATCCAGTAATGTTACTTATCGTAGTTCCTAAGGATGAGTCTTTTATCTGATGCATAACGCATATGAATAGTACAATCGAACAGTAATTATTGTATAACGCATACACAGATTATTGTATAACGCATAATGCATAAAGCATAAGAGAATCAACCAATCAGAGTTTTTGAGAGGGAGGAAATGAAGGACTTTGATTGATTCATCTTCTTATGCATTATGCGTTATGCAAGACTCCCGTCCTAAGTCTTTAGTATTGGATATAGCAATTTAAATTCCAGAGTGGGTGCTTCCCATTTGGTGACATAAGTTTCGTTCTATCTTTGTTACTCCCTGAATGCTAAAAAGAAGATAATATTTGTCACCAAATGGAAAGCACCTAGCGAAGCAATAATGATCAGGAGAACTTGCAATCATCCATATGCGACAAAATGATTTCCTCAAGTTCTCGTCGTGTCCTTCGCGAGGTTCGTACTCGCGAAAACTGCCGCGGGTATCGATCTCAGAACCGAGTATGTGTTCCGAGTCTCGTTTACAGGCCCCGGTATCTTGTTGCACCCACACACACGTATATACATATATACAGACACACATACTTCATTACTTGAACATACTTGGTTACATATATAGCGGGGCCGCAGTACAATCGAATCTAGAATTATCCCTCTCCAACACGTTTCGCGTTTTAGGGCGTTGTTTACGCTTGGGATTTACGAGCTTCCTTCACCGGACCGCTGATATCACCGGCGGAAAAAGACGGGTGCGTTATCGCAACGAACATCGGTGAAGCGCAAATAGAAAACACGGCGCCTTTAGCTTGTAGCTTGCCTTTACACTTGGGACGCGTGGGTGAACCCTTGCGGTTGATTATACTTAGAAACTTTGCTCATTTCGCTGATGCTTATTGGCAACTGGGTTACCGATGAGGCGAAGATCTGATAGGGATCGAATAAACTTTATGAGAGAATCGAGGTGTTTAATTCTCGGGGAATGAAATGGAATGTATTAAGGAATTTTAGGGAAATACTTTTTGCTCGAAATAGAGTTGAAAGTTTAATCCGCGCAATCTGGGATTGCCGAAATAGAAATGATACATGAGCGAGCCGGAGCATTATTCTACTTCGAGCGCTAATTAAAGTTCCGCTTATTACAGCGAAATTGTATCGACACTTTCAGTATTATTAAAACTTAAAACATAAAATCAGTGAATTATTTAAATTTAAATTTAATATGATGATAATAAATCTAACAGAATGTGTGAGCCTAATGCCTGTTTCTAGTTCTAAAAATTAGGATGAAGTGTAAGTTGAATCGAGATTAAATATTGGAAAAAAACTAAATTTTAATAAATATTTGCCCGCGAATGGTTCTAAATAAATATTTATTAAATGTAAATATATATTATTTGATATAAAACCATAAATTTGATTTAACTATCACTTTTTATTGAGCAAATATTTATTTACTGTAGGTAAACGTTTACTTAGTACTATTAAAAAAAGTATTAAGATTTCGTAAATGTTTTTTTCAGTAAAGTTAGTCTATATTGATGGCAACGGATATAAGAAAACCCACGATATCTTTTGAGTTTTGAGTATCGAAATAAGTTTGTTTTGACTCGAGAGATTTGTTCAGCGGGATACAAATCTCCAAAGGGATTCACAAAAAGAGAGACTCGAACATGATCTTTGCGTTCCGGTGGTTACTTATTTTTCTTACAACGATGGCTATTTACTCGGGACGAGTGGCGAAATCAATTTTGCGCGGGTTAAGGATAACGCGGACGGAAGACAGAATATATATTCGCCTCGTCAGCGCGAATGCCTGCCGCCACGGTAATCACAAACCATTTTCATGGCACGTTGCCGCGTTGGCGAAACGGGGTCGAAGGAACGTCGAAAGGGCAGAGGGCGACGATCGAAGCGGAGATTAATCGGCGATGGCCGTGACGACGGTGCGAGATTTCACGAATTTCACAATCCGACTGTAACGCGATCTCCGTTGGGTCACCGTACGTAAAACTGTGTCCACGAAAACGTATCGTATTTCCTGTTGCAACGTTAGCTTCGATTGATGGAACGGAAAGGTCTCGTTCGACAATAAAAAAAAGCATTTAGCATTTGACATTTGTATATCTTTCGCTATTTATTTATGTTGTTGCTGTTTTTTTTCTGCATGTCTCTCTAAAATTGATCATTTCGCAATTTTAATACGGTTGGATGTTACTGATTGTGAAAAAAAAATTATTATAATTTAATTATAATTTGTGATCATTTTTAGTACCAACTATATATTTTTTAGCAGAACTAGAAATATGATTATTATTACTAATAATAATGATAGTAATTATAAAATTGGAGTTCTTCCCTACAGAAATTTAATATTGATAGGTAATAGTTAATAACTTATTTGAGTAATTTTGAATATTAAATTAGGCAGGATCAGATTAGATTTCTGTAAAAGTTAACCGTAATTATCTGGATATTAAAAGCATTGTTGTTGCTTTTGATACTCAAAGTAAGTAATAATTATGGTTAAAAAACCCTTACACACGTTTCAATTTAATACTGACTAATTTAATACTGGGAGTTATTTATTCTCAGTATTAAAAGCATCGAATAACAATGCTTTTAATATTCAAAATACACAACTTCCAGTATTAAATTAGCTAGTATTAAATTAAATTGGATTTCTGTAAGTTAACCGTAATTATTTTACCATGCAATTGTAGTCACAAATACTTTTCCCTTATTATCCTCCAAGTTTCATAACATAAAAGAACCTATGATAATTATACTTTAAATATTTTTCGTTAATGTATATCGTGCCGTTATTATTTTTCTTTTATCTCTTATTTTTAAATAAATTTTAATATTATGTATAAGAAAATAATATATTTTAATTTTTTGTAATGAAGACAACGACTTACATTTACTGCTCAAATATCGCTGCGTTAAGTATATGACGTATTCGTTTAGTAAATGCTGATCTAAGGTAAGCAAATGCATTCATGACGTCCGTTGTACTATCGACGTTCGCCTAGAGAGGCTCTGCGGCATCGCGGCCGCAACGATTGTCGTTTGCGTCAGGCGTTACGTCACTAGTATGCCGGCACAGCCGTGTGTTGCCGCGGAAAAGTATTGATTTTTCGAAAATCACAAAATATATGTGTAATCGTACAAGACAAACGTCATTTAATTATAAAACGTGAGTTATAGAACTGAATCCTGATTGGATATCAAACTGCAACGTATATTGTCAAATATACTTTTCCCTTATTAATTTTCGAAGATATTTTTCGAGGAAAAACTTTCGTCTTACACCTGGTTATTTGATAAATTGAAATTAGAATCGAAAATAGTCACATTTGACATTAAACACACGGACGATTGCGTTTAAAGATTTGCCTCGTATTCCTCCCTTGAGACGAAACGCTCGGATATTATTCGAGAGATTACGCCGGATCGGAAAGAGGAGATACGTGAATGGCGTTTGATTGCGCTCGAGTAAACGCGCAAATTCGATTCCGACAATCACGAGAATGCGATGCAATTAATTTTTTTCTCTTGCGACGGATTCGATAATGGATCTGCATTGTTTAACCATCTGATGAAGAGTGGAACGGTGATATGCGTCTCACGTGTCTCCCGGATGCCCTTAGAGCTTCTCTTTCGACCATAATCTCCTAACAGCATCTTACACGTGACGTCAAGGACTCAACGGCTTAGCGAGGATCGTCCAAGCATGAATGGACGGCGGTGTCCAACAGGGAAACGAAACCGACCGCATTTCGGGCGAAATTTAGTGCGGAACTTTCCAATCTCCGGTTCAGTCGAACTTTGCGAGAGCTGCCGGAGTATATCGATTGCCGGATTCACGAGGAAACTAAAAGCGCTATTACATATGCTGAAAATATTTCCGCATCCCGCAGGCACTGAGGGGTATTTCATTTACGACCGGAAGTATATGTCGACGCGATTACATGTGGCAGCGGTTTTGTGTTAAATGTTTAGAAGATTGGACACAGTAGACTGCTTCAGTCTGTTACAACGATAATCTCTTTGTTCTTGTTAATATGGCTATTGGAAAAAATTACTTTGCTTAAGTATCTAACAAATAAAAAAATAATTGTACGATTTTACACAAAAACAATTTTGCTGAAATATTTAAAAATTTAGCTAAATACAGATCTGAAAATCATTTTGGTGGACCTTATAAATAAATAAATCTAACAAAGCTATTTTTGTTAAAGTATCATAATAATTACGTAAGACGCTCAAACTGGTTGCTGGAATATCAAAAGTTTTTGCAACATTGCTCACTGTTTGTGTGTGTGAATTTCCTACATAATTATTTTAATGGTCCAACAGAATTGTTTTCAAATCTATATTTAGCTAAATTTTTAGAATTTTAGTAAAATTATTTTTTGCGTAAAAAAAATCATACAATTATTTTTTACCCGACGAGTCTCACACATCTATATAAAAACGTGAATAAAATTTCATTATTTTTAAAAAGTAATTGTGATATAACGATTCCATTAATTAATTCCAAATATTTATATCAATATTATTTTAGTACCAATTATTTTTTTTATATATTTAGTATTGGTTACGTATTCTTAGAGTAATGAAATATTTTTTCCTACAAGTTATGAAACCATTTACAGAATTATAAATACACGTTCAATTTACGTAATTATTACTACTGTCCGCTCCTGCAGATATTATTTGTATAGAATGTTTAAATTGCTCTTTGATAGGTCACAAAGGGTTCAGGTATAATAGAGTACACGTAGAAACCACGTAACTTTGTTGCAACTAAAGATAGGCCCGATACTTCCGCCGCGTTTCTTCATTCAGCGTCTGCCTATGACGCGGCAATACTACTTTCTCATTGCATTACTTATGAGCGGCTATCTGCAGATCGAACGACGTTAACTCGCGGTATGCGCGCAAGAACGATCGATGCCGTGCTATAAGCGCAATAAAAATAAAGTAACGTCGCTAAGAATAAGATCGCTCGTTCGCTGCCGGAACAATTTTTTCTCATTCACTGCCAATCGGCCGTGTGCTATCGCGAAACAGCTTGAAATTTCGCAACTCTCGAGCCGACATTCTTATCGTGTCGTTTCGCAAGGAGACGCGATCGATACTTGTACTCTAAATCCGTGCTAGCTATTCTGATCACGAATCTCACGACGTGTTCTAATGCCGAATTTTATTCGTGGAAATATCATATCCGAGTCGCAGACACAGACGGGAGAATTGGACAATTATATTTGGCGGTAATTGCACGACGAAAATAGCCAGATTACCACACCACGGAATCGAAATGTGTTATTTGTTTATAAGGATGTTTACGAGATCTCGAGTGTGTCAATTGGAATTACTAAAGATTCCTCACGAATATAAATATTAAATTATTTAAAATTGAATAATCAAAAGTTGATGAATGTGAAATTAATCGACCGAGTTCTTCTTGTCAAGATTTATTAAATAAATCGTATTGGTTTTTGTTAACTTATTTACGTTACGGAAACGTTTCTCTATTTAATTAATTTTACAATGTTGATATTCCGACGTAGATAATGCCAATGTTGTATAGGTATCGACTTGCGGCACGTATCTTGTGAAATATTGATTTGGTACCGACTCTAAATATAAAAGTAATGATATTCTATAAAATTTAAGCATTTCTATTTGTGCGGTGGCAGCTCGTATTGATGTACCGTCAAAGTGCCCTGCCGTCCTATTTGCTAACGCCCACGCCGAGAATTTGCAAATGTCACGAAAAACATGAAGATGTAATTTATTAACGGAGAAATGTTTTCCGTTTAATTAGTAAATGTAATTAATTATACATAAAGTCAATATTCTGATACAATTGTAGGTGCTACTGAAAAAAATTTTAATTTACATTTATGCATAATTCTCGTCCGCAAAGATTTTCGAAACAATTAGATGACTTTTTTAGCATTTGCATACGAGAGAACGGAGTGCATCACGGCTTGAATCAAATTGTAAAAATTAAAAATCTTTTCCACTATTATATTTAATTAAACAAAAACAATTGTTCGTTGATGAATATGCTTTGATATTAAATATCTTGTCAAGAAGATTTAAATTAAAAGTAATTAATCTTTTTCTCTCTCGCTTTCAGGGGAATTTTGTGAAGTTTTTTTCTTAGGAAAACCCTCGCAGAATATGATAAAATCATGTAATTTTTACTGTGTCATCATTTAAACGTACAAAAAAAATTAAGTCATAATTTGATTAAAGAATATTCGACCGCCAAAAAAATGGTCAAAGAAGCTCTTATTAAAAAGGTATACCGTGTTCGTGAAAGGTGTAGATTAATATAACACAGACGGATAACTCTTAATTCCTCATTCCCGCATCACGCGTAATAATGAATTTCTAAAGGTCGCGAAAAACATACACCTACGAAAATCCTTGAAATAACTAGCTTCCAGCGGCGAAATTATCGATGTGTGTGAGTATATATTATGCATACACAACACATATGCCCTTTTTTCGAGCGCAACCGGGCGAAACTTTGCGTAAAACAAGAAAAGTAAAAACGCGAAAAAACAAGTTGAATCATCGACGCGTAAACATAAAATAAAAGATAAAAAACGATTGAAATTGTTAGAAAAATATATTATTTTATTTTATTTTAAAATTAAAATAGTAGATAAAAACAAAATTATCGTTTTTTGCAAAAACAATCGTATAGCTCTCTAATAAAATTAAAAACCCGATAAAAAAAAATGAAATGTAATTTTAGATTTTATAAAGTTCAGCTCACCTGAAAGCACCGTGGATTTCCCTGCCCGATGCCATCGTCACTGCGATATCAGGTAACGATCCTGCAATGAATGAAAAAGCATTAGTTTTCATATAAATGAAATAACCATTTTAAAGAAAAGAGATAGAATTTTCCGCGTATTGAGAGTCTCCCCGTCACGGCGTCCTTACATCCGTTCTCATTTCTTTCCTTAAACAAGGCGACTTCTCTTACGCTCGTACAAATCGCTTTAACGTGAACGAGGACGACGCTCTTCATCTTCCGTGAGTTTTCTCATGCGAAACGAAACTTCTCTTTGGTAAAGAAAACAACTTGATCGTTATTCTTGAATACGAAACGAATCCGCAATCACATCGTCCTTGTCCTTTTAATTGTAAGCATGACGAAGTTGAAGGTAGATTAAAATAATTATGTAGGACGCTCAAATATAATGAACAATGTTGCAAAAAGTTTTAACATTCTGGTAATCACAGTTAGATTATACAAACTTATAAACCCATTATAAAGAAAAACATAATGAATAATTATAAGTGAAATTTAGATCGATAAGAATAAATAGAATGATACACTAGGAAAAGTGTTTTGTTCTATAAATCAAAATTTTGTTATAACAAATTTTGGTTAAAATATACCGAATAAAAATTTTTTAACAAAACACTGTAATTTTACATGAACTTAATTTTTTAATTAGCATAAACAAAATATTTTTGTTATTTACAAAGTAGAGAAATTATTTTACAAAAGCAACTAAATTTTTTGTTGTATAAACAAAATATTTTATTGTTAAAAAAATGCCACAACGAAATATTTTTGCTAAAGGCACTAAACTTTTTTGCTAGTATAGAAAAAATTATATTTTCGGTCCTTATAAAAGCGGATCTTATTACTTGATAATATTAATATTTACAAATACACTGAGAGACATGTTTGATATGAATAACGATAATTTTATAGACATATGAATTATCAAAATTTTGTTGTTTTAAAAAATTGTTCTAATCAGAATTAGAAAAAAAATTTTAATTAGAACATAATTTTTTAATTGAAACAATAAAATTTTGGTAATTCACGCATCAACAAAATTATGATTATTTGTATTAAACATTTCTCTCAGTGTATAGTGGTGGACAAAATGGTTGCGACACTTTTTGTCGGTGGATTTGAAATACAGCCTGCTGACCGAGCGATTAATTTGTACTTATGGATCTAATCATTCACGTTCAACCGCTCTACGAGCTATACACATAAATGTATACTACTATACACTCCTCAGTTCTATATAATATTCGAAAATATGAAGTAAGATACAAATTAAAATTAAAAATAATTTATCTCAATGAAACAAACGAATGTTTAATTATTTATTAAATAATTTTGTAATATTGTCTCGAAAATTTTCCAACGGCCTACGAGAAGTGTGTTAATACCCAACGTTTAAATGTAACTGCAAAATTTATCTCTGTGTTCCAATTATGAAAATGCAACTGTTAACCCAGAGGTAACACATATTTCCAGCCACGGATGACGTGTCAGTACTTAAGGCTTAACGACGCGCAAAACTCGCTCTGTAATTCGCTTGTCGGAGACAACGTCGTTGCAATTCGGGCTTGGACAATGAAGCCGTTCTCCTCCTCTGGGATTGGTATAATACCGCGCTATACCTCAACGGCAACGTCACGCGTCCTCTGAGAAAGACTATCGTGCGCGAGGTATACCATTTATCCAGGGGACAACGAGCCGTGTGTCCGCGATACATTTCGTCTGAAGGCTCTAAATTCTGAACGAGATCCGTCTGATGAAAAACGACCCAATCGAAACGACAACGAAGCTTTATTCCAGCTCCCGTCGAGGAGAGCCTCTTATATATAATTGCGCTTTAACAATTACATTAACGAGAATTGCGCGCAGAGCAGACGTTTTTAGATAAAATTTACACAAAATTCAAGAACAGCGCTACTCCAAATTCATCAGCTACTTTAAATTTATGTTTAAAAACGAGCGGAAATCATATAATCTTTCAGTTCCTTTTCGCAGAACTAGAAAAGAAGGCTTTACTGAAGTATCTAAGAATTTAACTAGATACAGATCTGAAATCCAATTTTGTTGGATTATTAAAATAATTACGTAAAACATTCAAGTTGATTACTAGAATGTCAAAACTTTTTGCAGTATTGCCCATTATACGATTTCTATGTAACTATTTTAGTATTTTCATGGTTCAATATTATTTTCAGACTTGCACGGAAAGAATAATTTTGCTGAAGTATATACAAATTACATTAGCTAAAAAATTAACTAGATACAGATCTGAAAATAATTTTGTTGGACTATTAAAATAATTACGTAGGACACTCAAGCGTAATAAATGATGCCACAAAAAGTTTTGATATTCTAGAACTGGCTTGGACATCCTACATAATTATTTTGACGGTTTAATAAAATTATTTTCAAATGTGTATCTAGCTAAAGTTTTAGATACTTCAGCAAAATCGTTCTTTCCGAGCAGTAGCACATAATCTGCAGTTTCTGAAAATGTGAAATTAAGACGGCTTTGGATATAAGCTCTCGGATTTTTCAGCTATGTAGAGAAATGCCATCACCTAAATATACGACAGTCGCGATTACTCTTGGCGAACCTTTTTACTTTATAATAACGTTCTATAAAACTTGATGTAATAGTCTAAAATTAGTTCACCGGTCTCGTGGCAGATCGATATCGAGCGTGCTATTAGACAGATAGGCACTGTCTTAAATTTGGCACAGCAAACGAACAACGCCGGCCGTGTTACATTGATATTTTATAATCATAAACGTGGAAATCGAGTTTTCAAGATTTCAGGAAAGAAAAACCTCCATGTCCAATGAACGAGCAGTCAGTCGGTTTATAAATTGTTGATCGTCCTGCACGAATGTCGGGAGTGACGTCTCGATCGTGATAGATCGATTTTCTCTGTCCGGCATTATGCATCCGTCGACTGACACTGACATACCGTCGTCTTCTTTCATCTTTTATGGGACGCGCCCGCACGCGCTCGATTTTTCTATGCAAATTGCAGCCCCTTTTTTTATTTAATGAAGATCGATTGACCGTCGCGCGTAATATCGAACCGTTTATGACGGAGTTCCTCGAGAGGAAGCTGTTCTCGTCTTTGATCATTCCTTTCATCCCTCGAGTATTCCCTCATTTAAACCAGTTTGTCAGTCTTGACGAAGTTAAACTGACTAGTAATTTCAGTGAAATATGAGCTGATACATCTATCTTCAACTAGAATAATTTGCCTATAATATGAAGAGCGTGGAAGACATAATTCACATTATAATTGAAATATTTTTATTATACAAATTTAATTTTTACACAAACCTAATTTTTTACAGTTTTGAACTTTATTTTTAAAACATTATTTTTCATATTATATATATGTATTATATGTATTATATGTGTCATGTGTATGTGAGTGTTTCGTAATATCTTTTAGAAAAATATGAGAAATGCTGTAAATAACAAGCTATCAAATTATGTCAAACACTGTTCTTCTGTGAAACTTTTATTATTCATACTTTAGAACGCAAAAATGTCAAAACTATAGCATTTATATTTGATTCCTTTCAAAAGTATAAGCACGTGTCGTTTCGAGAGTTGCTAACATCTGGCAATGAAAGTTCTAATATATAAAGAGAAAGGGAGAGTTTTGACCTTTTCGATCGTCAGGAGTGGCCAATTATGTGCATTAATTGATACAGCTTCCGCGCGGTCGTCGGATTACATGATGGCACAGCATCGCGGCAATGTTAAAGGTCACCATTGTACAGGTTCTCCCATAAATCGTGTTACACTTTTTCTCATTTAATTTTTTGCTGGATTGCGAGAGAGTTAATGAAAAAATTTGCTTTAAACTTTTCAATTTTTATCCGCGTGTATCTCTTGATAAATGAATTAGAAATTAAAATTCTACTTCTCTGGAGTAAAGTTGTTTCATATATACAATTATTTGTAAAAGATACTTTTATTTAGAACGTTATGTGATTTTAGATTTTGAATGCTTAAATTTATGTTCGGTTTTTCATTTTAAGAAGAGACATTGATTCAAAATCTGTCGAGAAATATATAGGCGAAGTTTATCACTTACGACATATCAGACATCTAGTACATCCTATGTGCAGCATTACACGAGACACATAATGTGCATACAAATACTATAATTAGTATCGATTTCTGCATTACGCGTCATACAGATACATCGGGTTCTCGTGGATTGTCATGAATAATCCTTGCACGACACCCGAGCTTTTGTTACAATGTCGCGTTTACGGGAATTAGAAAAGCGAATTAACATTATGAATTGTAGATTGAAAACGCAAGGCCATATAAGCGCCACGCCGTATAGCGTTGAATAAATAAAAAACAAATTTGGACGAAGAATAATTCAATAATGAATAAAAAATACAATATGCATACGTTACATGCGTTTTCTGCGAACAACAGTATATTTGAGAGATTAATTAGAATCGAAAAATTCAAGAAGATAAATTTTATTTAAACAAACATTGAATTTATTCGAGCGATAATTTTATTCGCCAAATAAATGTTGGATATATCCGCGCAATAATAGTCCATTCGTCGAGATTAATTCAATACGCGATGTACCACAATATTCAGCGTACGTTAATTTTACAATAAATTGAATATTTCATAACGACGACAAATCTGTTGGTACACAGCGTCAGTAATTCTTTTTACAATATCTTATTGTGACGCTACTATTCACAGTACTGGCGAACCAATGTGTACACGCAATTATCTTATTATCATTTACAAATTATCATTGCGTTGAATTAAAACGGAGCAAACAGACAGCGATGCTGGACGTTCCGTTTGGCGTTATTATTCTTCAAAATGCGATTATTCCTCATAATAATTATCAGCTACTTGATTAATTGACTCCCACGATTCATAAACATACATGTTATTTCGAACGATGTCAAAGCGATATATTGAGATGATAGGGGATGAGAAACATGCGATTAAGATATTGAAGATTCTTCATCTTTCAAAATGCGCTAATTTCTTGAGACATCGGGTATCAAGTAAAGCGTATTTTTCTCGCATTATCATAATAAAATACGAGGAACACGTCACATAAACGGTTATTCAATGTAAAGTTATTTAGTGTTAGATATCAAAGAAGTAGTGGTAACTCAATCCCTTGAGTTCAATAATATTTTATTACTTTTAACTTGCATGTGTGTGAAAATGTAAATCAATCCACTTCTATATTTAGTTTCAAAGTAAACAACGTATTAATGTATATATTTAGTAAACTAAATTTGAGTTAAATATAATACATTTTCTTGAGCGGAATTTACTCCATTGTTTTAACGAAAATAACAATATATTGAGCAGTGGCGATCTATAGAAGTTTACAAAAGATTAAAAATTACTCAAATTGGGTATAATTTGATATTATGAATTTAACGGCGTATATTTTGGTAGTATAATACATGCAATCGTAATAATTAACTGTGTTTTCGTGAGAGAATTATTCGTGATTGCTATCAGGAAATAGAAACTACTAGAAACAAGGACCAACTAACGATCAACTAACGGTCAACTAAACAGTCAACTGAGAATCAAGAAAGGAGAAAGAGGAGGAAATCCTCAAAGACATCAGACGAACATAGCGTGTAATATTGATTACACATAGATGTGTAAATAATATTTTATTTGTTATTTTTTTGTGAGATTAATTATTTATCTTTTATCATACAATTAAAGTAACGGATTCGCGAAAAAATGATATATATATATATTTTTTTTTTAATTAGCAATAACTATATAGATTATAAAATATTATAAGTATAATATATTTCATGAAAATTTCTTTGTGATATTTTAAAGATCCGCCACGTTAGAATGGTTAATCATTATTTCATAAGAACGGTTAATTAAAATAGACTCTATCATGTACGTCAAGCCAGACTCCGAATAGTTTATCTAGTATATCTTTAATTAGGCGTATCTGACTCAATCTTAAAACCTTGACATCGTAGACCATCACTTACTTCATTAATGCAATACTTAATTAAACATCACGTGCGATGATCTTTCCTTGCAATATCTCAATAAACGGGAACTCCCCGTTGAATGTAAATATAACTATTTCATTAATTTAAAACTTTACTTTTTCTCGATTTTATTACTTATTTATTTCTAAGTACAAAATATTACACATTATTTACACAACATAAACGTGTGCAGTAAACTCTGCAATATTTAACTTCAAATTTAAATTACTTTTATAATTATATGATAAATTTCCGTAATTTTAACATAATATTTTTGTGCAATAAATATACATAGATATGAAAAATTTAATAGAAATATATTAACAGAAATATTTTACCATACAGTGAATCTTTTTATAAATATATTATAGTATTTTTAAAAACATTTTGGGAGATATAAAAATGTTCTGTTAAAATAAAATTTTAAAACTGTAAAATGTAATATCAAAAATTAATTCTATTTTTAAGCTAATTAATTTTACATATAATATTAAAGTTATTTACAATGTTACAATAAATCTATAACTGAATATTGTTTCATTATTTGTAAAATATATAATTTCTAATATTATGTATATATATGTAGCTGGAAAGATTAAAAAATAGAGTAGCTAATGAAACAAAATTGTATTACCAATAAGTCATTTCTATTTTTGATATTGCATACAACATGTCAAAGAGACAATAGGCAAATACGTTGACAGTAATGTGATCATGAAAAACTTCTGTAGAGTCATTCGGTAACGATTCTTTGACTCAACTGAATGAGTAACGTTCCGCTATTGTTTTAACCGATTGTCGATATGCACTGAGAACCTTCCACAACGAATTTGTATTGCCACATAGCGACAGAATTGGCACACGTCACGTCGGAAACGCGAGAAAAAATCTACATCCACCAATCGCGAGAAATGCGCCAAATTAATTATATTTTATTTTACTGAATATTATTAAATATATTGCGTTCCAAAGTTCAAAATACGTTAATAAATTTAATCATGAAAAATATACTTTATTTGAGATTATCAATAATCTCTTTCTCTCCCTCTCTCTCTCTCTCTCTCTCTCTCTCTCTCTCCATAATACGATTAATCATCAAATAAATGTCAAATCATGTATTTGATTTATATCAATTAATCGAAAATTTGTCTTTTAATGTATTAACTGCAATTAATCGATAGCCATGTTTTTTTACAAGAAAAATAAAAACGGAGCGTAATGAATAAAAGTTATTTGTTTTTTACAAAATATGTTTTCTAGAAATATATCGACAAAATAGAGTGATTATGTGAAATGATAAAAGATTATTTTTCAAATTTAACTTTGAGTTTCAATGATAAGAGTTTGATAGAGTCAAACACGAGAATAAAATAGAAAGATGAGAATTAACGATTAAACAATCATAGCGTGAGATCTTTTCGGAAATACTAATCGATGAGCTTAAGCTTCTCATGCCTAACAATATAATAATAGAAATCACATATTACAACGAGATAAATATAATATCTCGCAAAAAGATTTATTGAATATAATAAAATTTTGAGTTTATTTTTTTTTATAATTTGTGAGCTTTAAAAATATATTTCAACTATTAATCTCTGATATTACTTTTTACTTTTATTTATTGCGATGCATATGCACATACCCTAATTGCAAGTAAAACAAGCAATGAAGAAAAGGGGACAAAATGACGAACGGAATTGCAGTCGATTACGTTACCGCGTGATTGTCGGGACCTCTTAGAACCAGTTGCAACGTATCTGTCCGAAATTGTTTAATGGGGTTTAAATATATACGTCGCGTTGTGCACACGGATTCGATTCGGCGTGGCCATATTACTCCGAAATTCGAGTGGAACTCAAATTTAAGCACCTTCGGTCCCAGTGCAGTGCGACAGCCGGCCGATTTCTCGGTCTCGCGACGCCAATGTAAATTTAACGTCG